TACATACATTTGTCCAATTAAGGAAGCTTATAATATATATATATAAAGATTAATTAATTATATATATATATATATGTGGGATATAGGAGATGGAAGCTTCATTATATATATGAAAATGGTATCATTAGAAAAAGTATATATATATATATATATATATATATATATATATATATATGATTCGTAATTAATTACAGTAATGAATGAAGTGAAAGGCAAAGTTAGTTTGATTTGAAAAGTGAGTGAATTAATTAAATAAGATGGATTGGAAGTGGATGTTAAACTTCATGATGGCTGTTTCAGCTGTGGTGTAAGTGGAGGGGAATAAGTCAGACCATGCCTGCCTGACTCACTCACTGCTGCAACTAATTCCTAGGCCAGGCTACCTTCATTAATTAATTAATCAAGCAAAAAGCTGTTGATTAGAATGCATTTGGTAATCCAAGACCAAGAGATTTGATAACATGAACATGAGAGTGTACTGTACATGTTAAGGTAAAGATGTGACTGTGTGTGTGAAAATGAAATTGTTTATATATATTATGTAATGAAACAGGTATTATTAATTATATGTAATGTAAGGTTTAACAAGTACAAGTATAAACATGTTTAATAAATGTTAAAAAGATGAAAGAAAGTGATGGGGACATGAGAGTTGAGAATGAGAGGCGTGGGGGGTGTGGTGACAGACAGACAGTGAGTGCATGGGCATGGAATGGAATGGAATGACTTAAGCTTGGGGTTAAAGCATGCATCACTTCAAAAAGCTGTCAATGCCTTTTCATCTCTTTCTTTCTTTCTTTCTACTGCTATATATTTCTCTTTTTTATTATTATTTATTTTATATTTTATATTTTATATTTATTACTATTAATTTCATTTCCTTGTATTTCTACCCTCAAATATCACCATGCACCCTTACCTCCTTCTTCCTCATTTTCTTTATAAATATTCCTCACACAAGGACAAACCCTCTAGGCTATAGCTATAGCTATACCTATACCCTCTCTCTCTCTCTATATATATATATATATATTTCATGTTGCATGTTGCATGAACCAAAATGGTACTACGTAGTATTTCTTTTCTTCAGTTTAACAAAAAGTAAAAAAAAGTTCATCCATCTTTTCATTTATAAATCAGCTTTACTTTCTTTCATATATATACATGTTCTCTTAAAAGAAAATACTGTAATCATCACAACACACACCTCTTTACACCTCAACAAATACCTCTTCGATCTTCAAAAAATATTCAACTCTAACATATTTACTACTATTTCTTCTTCTCAACCATTTCATGTAATTGTGATTTACTTGAGATCGATATATTAAAGTAATAAGGCAACTCAAGTACGTTAAGACATGCGCAATGCACACTTACAAATCTTCTTCTTATCATACCTAATTAATATTCGCCTATGTATATCTAAGGGTAATATAAGATTCACCATTAAACTAAAACAACTCACATCTCTAAAGGTCCCTAGCTAGACGCAAACTAGCATACATACATATATATACACATACCAATGCAATTTATATTATATACAACAGATTAATTTGAAACATCTAAATATTGCATGATACCTACATACGAGAATGCATGCCATATATATAATTGGAAAAGATACATCGTTTTTTATTGATGAAATGAGGGTTTCGTTCAAATCTATAATTAAGGAAAATGCTCCGGTGCCCTAAGTAACCTTTTGAACTTGGGAAGAGAACTAAAATTTGAAAATTAGGGAGCCAATGAAATAAAAGACCTAACTTTCCCCCTTTTGTATGATTTCTTCATATGCGACCACCAACTTATTTTAGGTCACATGCATTCCATTTTTGATACTATGCAATTAGAACTATATATGCATTGCCAACCACAAATGAATGGCAAGGTCACAAACACCTCCAACATATATTCTACTGAATACCCAACAACTTCATGCCATGTAAATTTTGTATTTTGAGTGCTTCATTTATGTAGGGCAATATTATGTTATGTTTCTAAGCAAAATAACTAATTGTAAGAATGTAATTTTCTCTAATTCCTTTGCAAGCAACAGTGTACAAGAATTTATACAAGCTGGTCATGAGTCTCACTAACAATAAATCAGTGATTTTAAATAATCTACAATATAAATTAGGGATAATTTACTATATCCCATCCATGTGATATATAGGGATGTTGTCATGTTTTTGTAAAATGATGGTTTTGAACTCATTACTCATCCCTATAGTATAGTATAGTATAGTATAGTATAGTATATCCCATGTCGTGTGAAGACTTATAATTGTTATGAGACAATTCCAATCCAAGTAAATGTAAATCAAGGGCCCGCCCACACAATAAGAAGCCCAATCCAAAATCTAGAAAGATGTGGAATTAGAATTAGAATTAAAATTAGAGGCAACCCAGCCAAATGAAATTAATTAGGTGTCCAATCCAATCAAACAACCCGCTTCTCTCCTTACAAATATACATAATACATAACAAAATATATATATATATATATATATGATGGTTTCATTTGATTTGTTTGGATTGGATAGTATTATTCATTCTTCTTACTTTTTTTTCTTCTAAATTCAGCTTCATGATTCATTTTGCTTGTAACTAAAGAGAGTTTGTTTTTATCAACTCTTTATTTAATAACAGTTGTTAAACAGACATTAATTATATTTGTTTTGAATTAGTTACATATCTCTATCTCTAGTATGTATCTAGAATTTACAAGTACCCATTTGATTTGAATTGGTATACTTTACCTATCCCCAATCATGCTTTCTTTTCAGTTGTACATGCAAATGCAACTATGCATGGCCATGTATAATATAATTACTTCAATTTCATATTCATATTCATTCAAACATCCCTATGAACTAAAAACAATCAACATTTGCCAAGCAACTGAGATTCATCAAGTTATGTACTTTGTAAATCCATGCACTAATCTTTTTAATATATATATATATATATATAGAGAGAGAGAGAGAGAGAGAGAGAGAGATATGATTTAATTTCAAATAACCACCTATATATATATATATATATATATATATATATATATATATATCTTGTATGAAAGAAACTGTATGCTAACCTTATGACCACAATGCAATTCTACTTCCTCCCGTTAGTTTACGCTTCCACTAAAAAGAAATAATCTAATTTCATGACTTGATGATATAAAGTAGTTCCAAAAACTGAAATGTGGAAATTTTTGCCACTCACAGGGATTTGTCATGTAGGTCAATGATGAGTCAGGAATCAATCAGGACTGTCACACTAATACTATACTGGATCATATCACATATATGATGATGCATGCATGCATGTTTTTGTGGAATATATATAATACACTTGTGTTTCAATTCGACAGAGAGACAGTAAATGCAGGTATCATTGAGTGATATGTGTACCTCCATGCTCCAGTCACTTCAACCTTCACAGGCAACACCTACCTACATTCAACTACCATACCCGGTCAACCCCATGTCAGCTTTGACCATTACTCTGGTTATCTCACCCTTGATGACAGCAAACACAGAGCTATGTTCTGTTACTTTGTTGAAGCTCAAACTCAGGCACGTTCATTTCTTTTATTTAGTTCCAAATTAACCCATTCGCTAATCTTTATGGAATTTGTTGCGCAGAAGCAAATGTGTTGTATTTGGAGACACCCATCACAGGCACGTTCATTTCTTTTATGTTAAAATCCTTTTTATGTCAAGCAATTTTCTTAATGAATCTTAACCAGGACACTATGTTCCTCAGCTTATGCTCCAATTCAACAAGAGACACAATTTGTTTAATTTAAAAGGAATAGCTGTGAGTAATGCAATACTAGCTGAGTTCTTCTGGTTACATGGATTGATATCAGATTCAACCTACAAACTATTCAGTTCCACTTGTAACTATTCACGACTCGTGAGTGAGCACTAAAGAGGATCTCCATCCCCAGTCTGTTCAAACGTTATCAACCTGGTTACTAAAGAAACCAGTAAATTGTTGACAAATATGATGTTACTCTGGATGTCGATATCCCATCTGTGCTATCACAATCCAAAGTCATTGTGAGCTTGCTGAATCACTTCCTTCCTTATAAGTATTAATTGGGTGTTATTCAGGCTCTGCTTCTTGTTGTAGAAAGTTGAAGAACCAGTTGATGTTTGTGTTGAAGATGAAATCATCAAGTACTTGAACAGAAGAGACGTTCAGAAAAGTCTTCATGCCCGCCTTATTGGAGTCAACAAATGGCTTGTTTGCAGCAAGTAGTCAAAATTAACTCTCTTATAATTAGCATATGCTGGTTTTCTTTTTACTCCCTCTGATGGTATTATTAATTACTAACAATATGATGATGCTTCTGATCCCAGTATCTTGGATCATGAATTGCTAGATGTGGAGATACCAACAATTAGTATCTTAGGAGAGCTGGTGAATGCTGGAGTGACAGTCTTCGCTTACAGGTAGATGGATTCATCTGACTGAAATTACAAATTAACTATAGAAAGAGAAGAAAAATACACCAATTGAATTTAAACTTGATATTAGTATTAAAGTTTTAACATTGAAATCCTACCTGACCTGACAGTGGAGATCAAGACTCTGTTATCCCATTCACAGGGAGTCGAAAATCAGTACATGGTCTAGCACAAGAATTAAAACTCAACACGACTTCTTCATATAGAGTTTGGTTTGCAGAGATGCAGGTAAAAGCTAGGATTGATAAGTCGTTTATACCATCTCATACATATATAATTTTTGTTTTTAAGGTCAAGTTCATGGAAACATACTATCATTTGCAACCATCAGAGGTGCATCCCATGAAGCTCCATTTTCTCATCCCCAGAGATCGTTTGTGCTTTTCAAGTCATTTTTGGAAGGCAGACCTTTGCCAGAAGCATTCTCATGATCAACTACAATTGCTTATGCAAAAACATTCTTTCAAATAAGTTTCTAGTTTGCTTATCTTCATTCAATCAATCTCTAATTATTAAAGAAATCCATCAATTCATTCCAATAACAAAAAAATAGAACACGATTTTTTAGATCACAAATACTAGCTAATAATAGTAGTACAGTTGATGTATAATTTACAAGAGAGTAGCATAACATATATATATATATACATATATATATATATATGGAGTAATTAATTAGGTTCAGTCTGATAGGCTGCATCGCAGAATTCTCCTCCAAGATCATCGCAGGCCTCTGCAATAAACACCCTGCAGTAAAGTAGTAGAAAAGATTAATTAATTAGCACCAAGAAATCCATGAAAGAAATGCAAATTACTACTTACGTCTTGGGATTGTTGTACTCCACATACTCTCTATCAACCGCTTGTGAAGTAGTAACCTTGGCCTTGGGTTCTGCTTCTTCTCTGAGCTTGGTCTCAGGGAACATTTCCACATCACAAGCAACACCCCCCACTGTTTCACATGCTTCTGCTGGGAAAACGCTGAACCAAGAAACAACAATGAATGAATAAATTACCATGATCATCTATCTAAATCACACAGACAGCTTACGAGGAGGCCATGGAATTGTAATCGACTTGAGGAAGAGTGTCAGAGGAGGAGGAGGAGGAGGAGGAGGAGGCTGCTGCTTTGAATTTGATTGATGGTGTTGACATTTGTTGAGGAGGTTTTAATACTTTGTTTGAGAAAGTTGAGGTAGATTGCAAAGACAGGAAACAAGATGAAGGGAAGCAAAGCATTTTTGTTGTTGTGATGGAAAGAAGATGGGTTTCCAAATATATAGGGAAATTAAAGAGATAAGGTAAGTTTTGCTTTGGGATAAGATCACATCTTGTGGAAGATATTTATTTCTTGCTGGTCCCAAACTCTTTTATCTGGATGGATGGATCTATTTGTAACATTTCTTGTTCCTCTTCCTATAAGCATCCATGCATATAGATTATCTCCACAATACAAAGGTGGAAATCTAATCCAACAAGCTAGCTAGCTAGCTAGCTAGGCATATCATAACACAAACATAGCAATAACCCAATGTTAAAATTGACAAAAGATAAATGCTCACCCTTGGGCTTTGCTTCTTGTATTATTACAAAACCAACCACCAGATTTTAACAACTTATTTAATTACCATTCTGCATCTACTACAAGGGGCTAATAATCATCATCATTATAGTAACAAGCCAAAGGCTCAAGGAATGGTCCCAAAGGCTTAAATCTTATGCTTTGTTACTCAACAAAGTAGTAAAGCAAAACAAACAGACAGACAGACAAACACCTGTGATTGTAAAGGTGATTAAACAGTAGGATGGTATCCATCCACAATTTTTACCCATGTCCATAGAACTACCAAACATGAATTTCTTTTCTTTTATCTTCAAAAACTGTGGAGTTGGGTGAGCATGGGAACAAGTTCATCACTGGAAGGGCGATCAGCAGGCATATCAGACAGACAAACTGCAGCTATTCTTACTGCCATCAACATCTCATCTTCCTCCATTTCTTCTCCCAGAAGACTCTTATCAAGTGCCTCCCTGCCATCCCCTGCCTCTAGTACTGCTCTAAACCACATCCCCATATCACCCCTGCTCCCTTCTCCAATTCCAAACAATGGATCGCTTGGATCTCTACCCGTTAACAGAACCCCCAGTATCACCCCAAAGCTGAAGATGTCACTCTTTTCTGTATATTTACTGCAATTTTACATACATACAAACCAATGTTAAAACACTTGAGAAATCACACTATATCAAATTCAAACACACTTTGAAATACCTGAAATTTGGGATACATTCGGGGGCATTATACCCAGATGCCCTTCCATTAAAACCCTGCATCACCTTACCCAATCCACAATCCCCCAGCCTCGGTTCAAAGTCTGCATCTAACATCACATTCGAAGGCTTCAAGTTATAGTGCAACGTTCTAGGTGTTAACGTGAAATGAAGATACTGAAGCCCTTTGATAATGCCCACTGCAATTCGTAGCCTTGCATCCCATCCAAGTTGCAATTCATTTTCTTTAGCTCTCTTCATTGCATCTTCAAGGCTACCCATGGGAACATAATCATAAACCAAACACAACCTATAAGACTCGCAAACATATGCCCTTAAGCTCATCAAATGCCTATGCCTCAAGCTAGCCAGTATCTCAAGCTCCCTCTGTATTCGTCTCTTGACGCTCTTCCTCTGATGAGCTTCGGTTTCAAAGGGCTCAAGCTTCTTCACTGCAATTGTCAACCCACTGTCAAGTAGAGTCATATAATACTTCCCATTAGGGCTTGAACCCAGCACCTGGCTTTCATTTGCTACAGCTGATTCTAGAGTTTTGGGAGAGATTTCCGGTGAGAATACAACCGGTCCCTTGAGAATAGGAATTCTCTTCATATATCTGAAGATGCACCTCACCAGGCAAGCACAAAGAAAAGCACAGCCGAATCCGGTTATGCCTCCCAACAAGATGCTCAAGATAACTCTCTGTAACTTACCTCTAAATTCTGGAGTCCGTTCTGGGGATGGAGGGTCCGCTGGGATGTGCTTTATCGCTGCTCCGTGACATTGCACAGAACAAGAGTTGTAGAGACAGTGGAATAACACAAACACAAACTTGAGGAAAATATATTTACTACTCTTCTTCTCCATAGAAAACAATAGACTTGTTATAAGAAACATGACCCAAACAAAGCCTAGATAGAGCTCTGAGTCAGTTAAGAAAAATCTCAGCTCAAAGATTCCATTTTTCACCACAATATAGATGGAGAAACTACCTACAGTTGATATTAGTTGATGAAAAGGTTGTTGAAAGGAGTTGGAGAGATAGAACAAAGAGAAATGCACATGGGCATGGTATGTAGCTGAAGGGAAGGAATCTTTGTGTTTTGAGACTGGATTTTCTTGTTTGGGGAAATGGTCAAACAAGCTACTGAAGAAAGCTAAAAACTTCAGGGGAAAGCTAAGTTGGCATGTTGGAATTGATTCATTCTATTATTTAAGGAGGAATCAAACCCAGAATGTGAAAATCAAAATCTGCACCAATAAGCAATTACAAACTATGTGTAATGGAGTGACTCGTCAGAAACCCCATTAAATGTAAATGTAAATGTAAAATGAATTTTCTTTTTTTCTTCCTAAACAGGAAATCAAGTAAAAGGAAAAAGATGAGCAGATTGGAGAGGTACTCTGAATTCTTATTTGTTTAAAATGCGTAAATGAGCAGAGGAGGAAGAGGAAGATAGTAAAATGAAAATAGAAACAAAACCCTAGATAGACTGTTTGGTGTATGAAAGAAAGAAGCAGGACCTGGCTCACACTCTCATCCGCTGGTAGCAGTCTTGAGATGATAAAACACAAAAAACCACCCTTTTTTTTTTTCCTTTAAATCTCCAATCAAGTATTAACCTTTTATCCATCCATTAACATACCTGGTTGTTGTTACATCAACTCTTATTTAAAATTTTAGAAAGAAGTTATCACTTTCACTGTTTCTTTCTCTTTTCTATAAGAGTTTTCTTCTAAATGTGAGATATTAAGAAAACAGAAACGATTGTATGTATACTAATACTATATGTTGATGAAATGTGGTACTACTTTTAGTAATGGTTTAAAGATAAAGGGATTAAAAAAGAGAATGTACTTATTTGTAGAGGCACGTGGGTAAGAGGGGGTGGTCGCTGTCTGGAGGCCGAAAGGGGAACATCGGCCTTTGTGCACACAATATCTTAATTTAGATTTGGTGCTTTGTCTTTCTCACCATTTAAATTCAAAATTATTCAAATCCTACTATTTGTTTTTCTTTTTATCCTGCATTATATGTCCTTATTTTCTTTTGTGTTGTTGCTCCTAGGCTTATGTTTTCATTTTTCACTTGAATCTTTGTTTTATAAATGGGATCAATGTGTCAGTGTTCATATTCCTTTCTCTTACAAACATAAGTTTAAGGTCTGAAAGTGAGATTTATCTCAAACTGTTGGTCATATAAGATAACTAATTCATGATGCTAGTTTTTTTTCCTTTTTCTTTTTGGGCTGATTTTGATTTCAACTGTTTTGAGGTATTGATTAAAATAAAACAAAAGAGAATATATATATATATATATATAAATATATATATATATATATATATAGCAAGAAAAAGAACTAAATACACTGACATATGTTACAGGAGATGAAACTAGACCTACAGTTACAAATGCAATGGGGTTTAAGGGTGGAGAAAATATAAAAAGTCAAAATTTTACTCCATTTTCAGTCCAACAGTAACAATAGAGTTTGCAAACAATGTACATAAACCCTCCAACCCACCCAACCCAACTCAAATTACCACATCTCAACTCACAAACACAACCAAATAACTCAAACCAACCACCTCTTCTTTCACCCTTAACATTCACATGCTACTTACAATTACATTACACAGATAATATTATGCATGTTCTGCTCTGCTCTGCCTGCTCTTTGATCCCCGTTTGCAGCCGTCATCACTTCACCATAATTACACAACACTTGCGATATCTTTCCACATTATATATACCTTCAGCACCAAGTGTTACCCATTCGAGTCTACTGATAACAGACTCAGCACCTCATTATCCCTAAAATTTGAATTCACTGCAACCTCCAAGGGGGTTTTACCACCACCATTTGCAGCTTGTGGATCAGCCCCTCTGCAACAATATTCACAAACAACAAAACCATTTATTAAGCTTCAACACACACACACACACACACACTTTCTTCATCTACAATATATACCTTGTAAGAAGCAGCTTTGCACATGCCGCTTTGCCTCTCAGGATACAACGATGGAGTGGCGTCTGACCTCTTGAATCACAAACATTTATAATGGAACCATACTGTAACAGTAGCTCAATCATCCCAACATCTGCAGTTTCACAAGCAAGATGAAGAAGGGTGCACCCCTCCATACCATATTCTTCCGATCCTTCACTTGTGCCCCCTACCATTGAACAAGACTTCCCTGTATTATTATCATCACCCCCTGTGCTCTGCTCTTGCAACAGCATTGCTTTAGCAAGGGTTAGAGAAGAATTACAACACCCTTGCTCGTAAATATAATTCACATCTGCTTCAAAGTTCACAATCAGACGGTATACGGCTTTCTTGTCATTACCACCAACAGCCTCCCATATATGTTGTCTTACTAAACTATGATCCTTTGGCTTTCGAACAAAAATTTTCAAGGCATACTGCACCCAACAAACAAATAAACATTTTCAATAACACCACAACGACCCATGATAGAAGAACATGCTAAAGTTTCATTAAAGATGATAAAGCTAAACCTTTGCATGAATGAACTTCTCCTTCACAGCTATAGAATCAGAATGACTAGGTTTGCAGAAGTAAAGAAGCTGGGGCTTATCAGACTTGTAAAACCTTTTAAAAAGAGAACGAAAATGAATTTCTTAGCACATTTTGGTAGGATGGGGAAAAAGAACACGAGAAAGAAAAGGGTAAATAAACATAATCAAATCTCAAGTGACCAGGCTGTTTACCCTGTTGGAACAAGTTCCGTCTTATAGGCACCTTTTGACTGCAATAACTCCTCCCAAACTGAATTAGCGAAGGCATTGCCCAGAGACTGAAACAAGGTAATGACAGAGGGCTCCCACACTTTAACATCAAGTGTTAACGATCGTACCTGCAAGCAAAAGTTGGTAACAAAACATAATTTCAATCTAGTAAACTGACAGCACGTTTCAGACCATTAGACCTAAGTTAAGCCTCTCTTCAAGTAGAACAAAAGACTTGTGTTATAAGATCTTTGGATTACATATTATCATAGTCTCTGTGGACCCCATTGAACTTTCATTCGGAGGAGGAGCCTATCAAAATCATATCGATTCTTATAAAAGAAAGACAGGACTAACCAAGACTATTCAAACAGCAAGTGCAACAGGTATATCTAGCAGCCTTTCTCATAAGAGAAGTGGAATGCAACAACTCTTTCAACTATATGGTAGACCAAAAAGAGGCCTAGAAAAGACCAAGAGGCTTAAAGCACAGGGTTTACCTTTGATATATGCACACCAAGGTTACGGTGCACACCAGAACATTCAATACAGACAAGAACTCCTAGATTTAAGCATGCCCAATCTGGGTCAGAGGCTCCACAGTCAGCACACTTGTCGTTTCCACAAACTCTACGCAACACGTCTATGGGTTTCTCAGGTTTTGGACCAGATTGTAGCTGATGTGAAATTCTTGATAGGCGGCCAGGGTTTGGATAGGTAGGCCTCTCAGATGCATACTCCTCGACAGCTGTGTGATCGAAATCAGAACTTTCAAATGAACTACTATCACTGGCAGATCGATGATGGCTACTGCCCATAGGACTACCAGACAAACACTGAAAAGTAACAGATAAGAAATGACAAGAATGTATAAATAGGTCTATGACCATGTAAGTTTAAAAGAAAAACTCGAATTGATTACCCTCTCAGGGACCTGAGAACTTAGCAATGAAGCAATAACTCCTGTTATCTTCTCTATCCAATCCATTTGATCCAGGGTGCTTTCCGCCTGCAGTGACAAACAAATCAAATTATGCAAGTTTTGAAACAATATCAAACAACTATAACTTTGCATAGCTTGTCACTAAAAAGTACTTCCAATAACTACAAATGCAACTTAACATCTAAACTTGCAAAACGAATCAGCAGTGAGTCACCTGCAAAGTATAATTTTTTGTAGGTGAAATAATCCTGAAGCAAAACCTCAGGTCCGATTGGTCAGCATCAACCTTTATTGTTGATGTCAACAGGTTAACCGTGTGATGAGCAACAGATTTCTCGTCATGTACTCCACCATGGTGATGAGAAGAAAGCCAACGACTCAGCAGCCCATGACCAAGTTCAGAACTATTCCTCTGAGCTGAAATTTGACTGCCAGACCCCTAGGAAAAAATAGATTTCAGTGCATGCATAAAATCAAAGGAAGCTGCAATGGAATTCAGTCACTCACTGGAATCAATCTATATTGCATATAAGTATCATCAGAATTCCTACTTACAGAAGGTTTGCTGCTTTGTTTCCGATAGTAGTACAGCATTCCCCGGCTATCAAGAACAAAAAACCTTCTTTTCCAGTCACCCCTCAAGTTTGAGGAGCGCTTTGAAAGATATCCTTGCCGAATTGTTTGAACCTGATACATTTTAATTGTTTTTAAGGTCTAAATGAAGAAAGCATGGCAGAAATACTGAGAGCAGATTGAAGGTGAAGAAAATTTTTGGAACAACTTGCTACCTTTCCCTTTGAAGCAGATTGCATGACTGCCTCTATCATTTTATGTGAACTTCTACCGATGGCTTGGATGCCATCTCCATTTGGGGATCCGCTGGAACCATTTGAAGACCACCTGCTTTCTCTATCAATCTGTCTTTTATAGTCTTGCATCCTTTCATTAAGAGCCGCTTGCTCATAATTTGATCTTTCTCGAGATTGCTGAGCATATGTCAACACCTGTGTAGTACAAGATGAACAATTTTGTTTAAGTTACAAGTAAATTCGAGTGGAACATCACAACAGTTCAGCTCATCAAAAGTTATTATCTTCAACTAACAAGTCCACCAAACATCCATTTTTCCATCTGGGTTGTACAAACCAAGAAGATGTGAACAAGGACTAACAACAAGCAAAAGTTTTGGCCATCATTACTAGTGCAAGGGATAAAGGTTGCCAGGATTATCTTTACATTTTTCTATTCTCTCTATTTATATTAGGCTAGTTCCATCAGATAAAAAGCAAAAACTATTTAGGTACCACTGTTGTTAGAACAGAAAATTATAGAGAGAGAATTATGATTATTCTCCTTGCCTGCTTTAGGGAGAGTTTTGACATCACATGTATGCATTTTAGTTCAAGATAATGAGTTGCAATATTTAATATTTAGATTACAGTTATTATTTTAATCACAATTGCATAAACTACCCAAAAATCGAAATCCACCACCAAATTGTAAGGAAATTTGCTGTCTAACTAATTGCTTCAACTAATATATAGAACTAAACCTAGTTCTTTTGTAACCAAAAGCAGGTAAAATAACAAACCTGATTTATATATGGCTCCATCTGATGCAAAAGCTCATATCCCTACAGGTACAGGGTACAGGCAACAAGAATTTAGGAAGCTAAGATCCCATCGAGCATTAGACAAACACAATGATTTACCTGTTTAAAGTAACGAAGATGAGCGTCCATCGTACCACTAACTGCTTCCAGAAATTCAAATCTCTTTTTTGCTTCAACATTAGAAAGTGCAGTAACCTGGGTCGAGATATAAAAAGTATAAAAACCTTGTATTGCTACCGAGTATGAATAATTCTGTGATTGTTGAAACGCATGAACACATTAGCTACAGTTGATAAGTGGTCAAAATACTCTAACCAGATTGAACCGAGCTTGCTCAAAAGTAGCCCTCGCATTATGAAGGTCCTGAATATTTGCATTTATATGTTAAGATTCACAGCTAATAAGTTGGATAGACATTATCTTCAGAAGCAATAGAAAATAATTAATACCTCCTCCAGAACTGTAGCTACATCACTTTTGGTGCCTTTCTTCAAGGACAGAAACTTCTCCCGAGCCTGCAATATGGATAGTGATCAAGGAAAAGAATAAAGATTGACAGGTTATATCAAAAATGCATCACCCTAATGACCTATGATAGTGCTAGCTTCACAACACATTGAACTAGTCAATATTGAATGCATAACCTAGGTCAAAAGCTCCATTAAATACCTGGAAACAATATTGAATGATTTTCTAGTTAATTTTTATGTGTGCAACAATAATTTTGCAAAATACTGTTGAGGCTTCTTAATTTACCTCTATATTTAATAACTGAATTATTTCTCAACAAGTTTGGTCCCTAATTATTCTTGCTAATTGAATGACTGACAGTGGATACAGGGATATTTTTAATATTTCACACATGACAAGCTCATTATTTCTTCATGATGCATTCAAACATGCTCGTTCAAGATGTTTGGTTACAAAAATGTCTACCTTTCTGAATTTGTAACCTTCTATTCTCCAGATAAAACATTTTTTCAACTCTTACAACTGTAGCAACAAAAATAAGGTAGTCCCGGGCACCAAGGTTTTTTTTTTTGCATTGCAGGAGTTGGGAGGGAAGTACACTTGAGTCTTTTCCTTGCATTTTAGGTAGAGGTCAATTCCATGGCTCAAACATGTGATCTTCCAGTCACAAAGGGGTAGACTTACGGGTTTAGCAGAAAAGTTCATCTGTTCTGAAATGGGGATATAATAACTTGAATAACATGACATCTATAACTGTTGCATTTCAGGCACAATGCAACAATAAGATATCTTTTCTTTAATTGTATAAAAAAGTAATATATCATAATGATAGTGCTATTTCTTTTATTTTCATTCCATGTTACTTTTTGTGCCCAACATTGAATGCACAAAAAACCATTGAAAACTGACCTGATCATATAGAAGACTAGCCTTGTCAAACCGCTTCCTTGCCTCCTGTACCAAGAAATAAACGTTCAGTGAAAATACACAGAACTTACTAATAAAGTCAAAAACTAATAGTTCAGTGAGATACTTCAAATTCAATCATAAAGTTGATCTTTAGAGAACAAACAGTATAAAGTTTTCTAAATTCAAGAGGCCTAACAATTGTATGTACTGTAGGTGATTATCAACGAGTGAGGAACTCAATGACTCAAGATGAAGTTCAAATACGATAGATAACCTTGATGGCATGTGTTGCATGCTACATGCTACCATTGAAGGATCAATTTATTACAACATCCTAGCAGAAGTCAAAAGAGAAACATACATATAGCAACAATTTACCTTCACGTCATGTAAATCTATATTGACAAATTGCAACAATCGGTCATTTAGTATATGCTCAACCTGTAAATCCAATGAAAAATGTCAGAACCATGGGCATCCAAATAAAAGAAAGAAGTTAAGCATACATAGCTTTACTTGGTCATAGCTCATTAATACTTCTATTCTTTTGGATGTGAAAACTAGAAAATACAACCAAAGTCCTTCATTCAAAAAAAAATTGACTCATAGAAGAAGATGATGCACGTCAAGACAATATGACAAGAAGTTTGCCAACCCACACTAGCAGAGCAGGCTTTATTAGGGGGAACAATAAGGAGCAATAAGTCAAGCAGAAGTGCATTAGGGGTCAACAACATTAAGGACGTTAACAACTTCATTAAAAAACATATATCAGCAAATGACGACTCACATTCAATATACTGAGACAAATATTCTGCTTAAAAGTATAAAAACGACCTGAGAACGAAGAACTTCCTTGTATGTTCCAATCTCCCGTAGTGCAATCGTAAATTTTGTCATAACAGGACCTACAAGTAGATAGCAGTACTTCATCAGGGACATGGAAAAACGAGATAGAATTGCAAGATTAGTATGATTGGGGGTCAATGAGAGTAGTGCTACTGACATGTAATCTAGACATAATATATTAAACATCCATGACTATTAAAAATCCATAACTGCCATTGAGTAGAAGAAAATATAAACATAAACCTAGCACTGCTGGCCATCCAAGATATCATCACAAATTCTGAATTATATGTATGAATGAAGTAAGTGATCACTAGTATCGTGACCCCCAGCAGAGGCAGACCCAGAAAAGTTTTTAAGTGGTGACACCATTTGACTATAAGCAAATAATTTAAGGCAATTTTTCATAAAATTATTACAGATCTGTTGGTTGTGTTCGAACCCTGTCTTTGAAAAAAATTAGAAACACAAAAGCTATAAAAAGAACCCCAAAATTTAAGCTGAAAAGTAAGAAATTTGACAAAAACAAGACTTGAATTCGGGCCTTTCATAAGGACAGCAACATAAACCATCTATCTCATTACAAACTTGTGCCATTAGTTTAGCTTCAAAAAAAATATAACGGCATGCAACGAAGTGATATGGTGGCACTCTTCAGAAACGTAATCTTGTTTATATTATGACAGAGCCATGAAGAGATGGTCCATGCCCCCGTATTCCTCTATGTAAGTCCGCCCCTGACCCCAAGCATGCAGGGATGGGAAGAAGTAAGAAGTGGAAAGAGGATGATGCACGATATATGCTTAGAATACCAGAGGGAGGGGGGAAGGATGTTCCAGAACATGTTACAAATCCAACAAACAGATTTACATCAATATTGCCATAAGGTAGCTGTCAGAACCAATATGTTTTAAACATACCTCCAAAAGCAACACTAATAGGATCATTATGTCCTCCACCAAATGTTTCAAGAGTACTGGCGAAAGCAATGTCCCCATCATATCCTTCGCCAAGCCCTTCACTGCATACATGTAGGAAGAACAAAACCTCTTATAAAACCAAAAGAACTTATGAAAGCAACAGCTTATTGTAACCATCCAACTAACTCGTGATAAAGGCTTTGTCGAAACATTGAGCAGATCATTAAGCATCAGATAGATCAAACATCATAGTTACATATTGTGTGAGAGCTTTAATGTGCACAGGAGGAGACATTTGATGCGAGTAAATAAAAATCCTTCCAAGTCTCTTATCGTTAGAGTTTCTCTAACAGAAGAGAGAGGGAGATTTGGAGTGGGTATTAAGGTATCGTTTCCTTTTACAAATAGGCGGATCTGAAGGAAGCATGTATTTACAAGACCGAACATTTATTATCCAAATTACCTATTGAAGTAACTAGCCCTGGCTCATACTATTGAAACCACCCTTCCAAACTTGCAAACAAAGACAAAGGAAACACACAAACTCTGAAACTCAAAACACACAAAGAGGGTGTTAAGCCAGGAATGTCATGATAGAATGTTGTTTTAGCTACCTGTATGCAGTACTACTCACTTGTATATTGTACCTTGGATCAAGCAACTTCAATTCATTATTTGGTTACAGGGCCTTGAAGACTATAATGGAAGATAAAACCTTCTATGAAACCAAAAGAAACTTATGAAAACAGCAGCTTGTTGTAGCCATCCAACTAACTTGGAATAAAGGCTTTGTCGAAAAGTACTACTAGATCATTAAGCATCAGATAGATCATACATCATAGATTTGCACATTGTGTGAGAGCTTTAATGTGCAAAGGATGGGAAGATTCGATGGGAATAGATAAAATTCCTTCCAAATCTCTTGGCATTTTTTGTTTCTCTGTCAGGAGAGAAGGGGGGCATTTGGAGTGAGCATTGAGGTTTATATTCCTTTCACAAATAGACAGATCTGAAGAAAGCATAAGTTTATAACACCAAAGATCTATCATCCAAATCACGCTGTTCATGTAACTAACCCCGGCTCAAACTACCAAAACAACCATTTCAGACTTGCAAACAAAGACAAAGAGAAAACAATCTCTCCCTACTTAACACCTCCCCTGAAACTCGGAATACACAGAAAGTATTAAGCCAGGAATGTCACAGTATAATGATTTTCATGTGTTTGCGCTTTAACTACTATATAGAGTATTACTCACTTGTAACTCTAGTATAGCTTCTAACTTTAATTCATGTTTTGGTTTTAAAGTTTTGGAAACTATGTAAACAGAGCATGCAATGGTACATCTCAAGATAATGTCAAATGTTTCTTGGTGGCTCATCATTTACATTCATAGAGCATGGTTATCTGTATGCATTTTCTCCCTTAAACCCTTTCAACTAGCACTCCAGCATGTCTCATTCTCGCTAGAAGAGTCTGGCCGGCCTCAACTGCTAGTAGCTTGGCATGAAGACTTGGTTTAATCGATTTGATTAGTTTTTAATCATCAAAGACAGATCTCCACTCAGACAGACTCCCATATATAACCTTTCAAGCACACCCCTCTTGAATTTTCTGTAATCATGTATCTGCAAATTTTGAGTTCCACCACAGTCGCTCATTTCAAAAGTATCTATACAGCATTGTAATATAATATCCCTTCAATGTCATAGAATGCAAAATTTGGTGGCCAAGGTAGAATCTAGGACTAATATGCAACTCACATTTCAATTAAAGAATGATATGAAGCTTTCTTGCAAGCCAGATATCAACCGAATAAGAATAAGGAAAAAACACTTAACACGGTTTCTTGATGCAGGACAAAAGAAAAAACATTTTGAATATTAAATTTGCACTCACGTATACTTTCTACATCCTTTGTAGAACTTTAAGCTTCTCTCCCTCAGCAATTCAGCACTTTCCTCTAAACACTGCATCTGTTGCATGAAATTTGGCATCATGATAAGCACAAGCTCAGAGGGATGCATAACATGTTGAGCAAAGTAATGTAAAACATAAACCTCCAATAACATAGATAGCAACTACATAAAAAAATAAAGAACTTTTATAACTCGTATGATACAGATCAAGTTCAAGCTGTCTAGAATTCTGTCTTTGGGGTGGGCCTTTGGTACTCAAATCCGTATGACAAGAGCACAAAATTCTAACGGCCTCATTACATGCAAAATACACATTAAATTTAAAGTTGTTACTAGCAATAGCATTATGGTACATAAGGATCAGTTGGTGCGAACACTTGAAAGGAACGGTCCTGTACAACATGGCATGGTTCAAAAGGCTTAAGATTCAGTCTTACCCCATAAACTGTTTGGATGGTTATTTATGAAGCAATTAGGCATTTGTCACAAACCCTGGTTTTCTTTGTGAGATCAATATCCAGTGCAAAATAAAGAATAGTCCTAGTATATGTTTGCAGTATCTGTCTCAAATTAAACTATTTATCGAAATCGTTGGAAAATCTATAGTTTGGGCAAAGGGCCTGATATTTTCATGCGAGATGCTATATTTAAGCCAAAACATAAGTTTTTTTTTTTTTATCCTTAAACCCAGGTCAAGTCGATATCAACTTAAAGAGTTTTTTTGTTTGCAATATTATAATGTTCCTGTATGATGATCCGCAATGGTTCGACAAGACATAAGCTGTCATGATGCTCTCTGATTCGACAAGACATTGCAAGGTGTTGGCTCTTTTAGTGGGAGGCTACGTGACTCAAATCATACTAGACAAGTAGAGAATCGATTTGAATAGTAAATAGTTAATTTTTTAATGTTGGTGTAAAATGCGGAGTTAGATCAAAAGATAAAGAGAGAGAAAGGGATGAAAGAGCAAACCTGCTTACGGAACATCGGAGAGTCATCGAGCTTTGCAAAATGCATGATTGCAGGCTGAGAGATGGCTAGGGGTTGTGGGTAGAAGAAGAAAAAAAACCAATCTTGATTTTCACACTAGAAAGACGATGATGGTTGATGTTTGGAGTGTGGAACCAGGAAGATAATGACCAAAATTCTGTAAAACCCAAGAAAGATGGTTCATTGTGGTTCGATCTCAGAATATCCTCCACCAAAGAGCAAGTTGCAGGGTTGGATCAGACAGATTTATTGAAAGATGTTGTTTGGAACCCTAAGAAGAAGAGGATGAAGAAAAAGAAAGGGGTAAAAAGAAAAAGAAAGAGTGAAGTGAAGAAAAACCCTAGAGAAAGAGAAAGAGAAAGAGAAAGTAGGAGGGAGGGAGGGAGGGAGGGAGCGAGACAAGAGGCGAATGTTTTTCAATTGGATTTGGAAGGAAAGCATTCATCATCAACAAAACCTCAACTCAACACAACACAACACAACTCAACTCTCATCTCAGCTATTAATTAATTAATTAATTAAAATTGCTTTGGCGTTGTAAACAAAAAACATGGAGTATTGAATGATGGTTTATGTTTTGTATTTTATTTTCTTTTTCTTTTTCTTTTTCTTTTTCTTATAAATAAGGATGGTCCAAATAATTGAAGATGGATTTTGATTTATGGACCATGAATAGGAAGGGAGATGACATTACCAAAGACCGACCCGAGCTCATTAAAGCATTCAGGTCCACATCTACATCTACTCGTTTGTTTATTTTACAAAAGATCCAACTTCAACAAACATATAAATAAGTTGAATTAGTGTTTATTTATGAATTTTAAATAAAGGTGAATATGGCCCATTTCCAGTTTTACTTTTTTGACCATTTGTTATTCCTCCTCCTATTGCTCCTCCCTGCTCTCTGCTCTCTTCTCTCTGTATGTATATGTATATGTATATGTATATGTATATCATTACCAACCAAATGACTTCCATGCATTTATTGTTTCACTTGCCTTGTTTTATTCATGTCTTAACTTAACCTCATTTGTCTTGATCAATTTACCCTCATCATCTTCTTTTCAACTGAACATATACATATAATAAGTAGAATGTACTATTAAATGCAATGGTCTTGAAGAATAGAAATAAAAAGGTTATAATAAATGTAATTAGAAAATGGTGTTTTAATGAAATGGTAGAGAGACATGATGAGTTAATTATTTTTAATTAAAAAAGGTAATGATGAGAATTGAGAAAAAAGAAAAGTGAAAAAGAAGAGACAGATAAGGACCCCTCATGGGAATGTGAGTTGCCAAAGTTACACTTACACACACTACCATAGTACCATTGCCATTACCATTACCATTACCATTACCAAAACAACTGCTTTCCCAAAAATATGACATCTTCAACCAAAACCCACCAAGGAAAATACTATTAACCAACCCAAAAAAGTAGCAATCGTTTAACTTAGACTTCATAACCGCAAAACACCCACATATAGATTAGTTTACCTCATCGATCTTGTAAATTCTCATCAAAGATCTTCAATCTCCATTTGTCCCCAAAATCGTCCCCAAGGCTCTCAAAATCGTTCAAAACCGAGAGGATATGAAGAGGGCAAGAAAATGGAGAAAAACCCTAAAAATCAGGCTTAAAAGATGTCTCAGCGACACCCCGCCTTTCTCACGACTTAAGTCGCATGGTAAGTTGCTTGCGTATCGAAAGCTAAAATGCTAAAATAGTGAGTTGCACGGCTTTTCCCGCGGCCTAGGTAGCGGGATTTTCTGTTTCGCTCCTATTGCAACTTTTCTCCACTAGAACTCGCCCATACCATAAGCTCTTAAGACTCAATGCATTCCACTCGATGAATGACTTCTAAAGGCTCATTATAATACATCAATCTTAAAGGTAACGGGTGATATAGTTTAGAGGATTAGTCAAAGAATCCAACCTGATTTGTTGAAACAAAGACATCTCAACTTCTTCTCATATATCTACCATCAATTTTCAATCTTTCATCTCTTCATAAATGTGAGATAGACAAAAATCAACCTCAATCCAAGAAATATGCAAAAATGAAGAGCTTTAGTTAAGAAAATGTAGAATACTCAATTCTTAGGGTGCCACATCATTTTTTGTGAATCTTAATTTTATATGTATAAAGATTTTAAAATACTTAATTTTAATTATGTCACCTCATTATTTTCTAGCTCTCTTTTGTATTACTACATTGATATTTTATATAAATTATTTTTATTTATTTTTTGCAAAAAGAGGGTTGGGAAAAATGAACCAACCCTGTGAATTTAGAGAGTTAGAGTTTGTTTGTTTACCTTTTAATAGTTTCATTAAAAGACATCATCTGAATCGTTAAGAGGTGAATCTTGTTTGGCAAAAAAAAATTTGCCTCTTAATGATTCTAAAACTCTCTGAAAGATTTTGTATGTTGGGCCACCCTTAACCATTCAACACCCTAATTTCATTCTGAATAATTACCAAATAATTATATTTTATTTTGCACTATATTATAAGAGTCTCTTAATCATTCTGACCACTTAATCATTATGCACCAAACCATTTAGCAACTGTCAAACAACCCTTAGCCAACATGGGCCAACGACATCATCGAGATATTGAAACGTCATATTTGGGAAGACGAATTTGTGAATTGTCTCCTTGAAGGTCGAGTCCAGGAGTCGATGATGGTTGGAGCTGGAATGGCTATTTCTTGGGAGGATCAATGGTCGCCTTTGAGAGCTCACAAGAGAGTAATAAGGTGAGATCAAAGTATTTGGGAATATAAACTATGATCAATAAAAAGATAACATTAATGAATTGTACATTGTGCATAAAAGTAGTGGTATTTCAAGCTTTAAAATTTGTTTTCAAGATTTTGTGCAACAAAAGGTAGTACTTTATGCATTTGAGGTTGTTTTTAAGACTTTTCTTAAACCTGGTTTGTCTATACTACTTTATAAAGCATATTTGAGATAATGCTAAAAACAAGTTATGATGCATAAGATATTACCCATTAATGCACAAAGTCTTTTGATTACAACTTTAAGAGTACATAAAGCCTTCAGCACACGCTCAGTTTCACAACACCCAAGACATACACACCTCCATGCAGGGTTTTCCAAGATGATGATTGAGGCTTCCACGCCGACGATTCACATGTAGGGGATTTCAGTTGTGCTTGTCACTCATCTCGATTCATACTCTTTGTTTATCCATTTCTTTTAGGTAGATGTTTACTTTATGTTTATCGATTTCTTTTAGTTTCCCTTTGTGGTTCGTTTGTTTGATCGATTTATTTTTGGATTTGATTCATACTCTCGATTCAGACCTGTTTTTTGTTTGGTTGATTCATGTACAAACCATATTTAATATTTAGAATTTGTATAAGCCTTGCTACTTTCTTAATTTGCAGAAACCTTACTGCACATACATTCATACTACACGTACCTTTTTTTCACCTCACTGCACGTACATTCATATTTAACCTTAAAACAGTTGACAATCAACAAACATACATTTTGATAGGTGATTATCCAGTTTCCTGGAACTGTTGAATTATGCAGGGAGGTGATCTACCCTAGTGCTCTTAATATTCTAACCAGATTAGGTTCAAAAGTGGGTGCTCCTTTGGCTTCTCATCCTGATGTTCATAAGGTGTGTTTGATATTGCTTTTTTGCTCTACTCTTTATCTTTTGATTAAACATAATGCTTTTGTGATCCAAAATGTAATTATGACAACGTCACGGTCATTAAAAGGGTTGCCTTAAATATTTTGATCAATAGCTAAATAAATGTTTTGATTTGTTCAAAGGATTAGTGTTTTGATTTGCTTGAAAATTGACGTCTGTTTGTAATCACAGGTTTGTTTAAGTTTTGATTATTTCAAATCATGGAAATGATTATCGTAAACTACTCAATGTAGAGTGCCAATATCATTGTACTTGTTTTTTCTGTTTCTCATCTAGAATGACACATTTTAGTAAGAAGTTGTTGCTCTGTATCCAAATTTGGAGACTAAATTTTTATTTGCTTATAAGAAATGGCAAAGCAACAAAAGCATATTTCTTAATTTCACATTTTTTTAGATGAGAATATTTTTTAACAAATTATTCTTAAATATCTTCTTTTGTTTTTTGTTTTTGTTGTTGTGTTAAATCATCTTTTCTCCTATAACTTGTTGGTGCACCAACCTTCCATTAATGGCTGAACAAGATATAATTTTTGTTGCAAAACAAATTAAAGTCTCTAATTTCGAGAGATGGAGATAAAGATGCATGTCATGTAATGTGGTTGAGAGAGAGGAAGAAGGGGTGTGTATAAATAGAGGTAAGAATCACATATCTTTCGGATAGTAACCAGGAAGATGCTCTGATTATGCAGGCACAAGACTATGCCCTTTGATTTTGTGTGGCCTTTTGGCTTTATGTTTGAGGCCTTATGCATGATTTTTCTATTTATATTCAAAGTAGAACCAAATACAGGTCTTTTAAGTTGATTGTAAAACATTATTATATCTAACTTGCTCAATTTCTTCCTAAGAATCTTGGTTTTATGTTCTATTTTCTAATACGTGTTTCATCATTTGTGCTTTAGAAAATGGATTCACATTCTTATGCTGAAGTGTTTTCGTCACTACGTACCACAATTTCGGATAATGTGCTCTTTTCATTGTGGACATCTATTTTAAATACTTAATTTGCAGGACCTTGAAGAGGAAAGAAAAAGGTGCAGATTGTGGAAGAAGCAACTTAACAAGCTACGAGCCAAGGCATAGAAGGCTGCAAAGGAGAAACATCTTTGCTCTGGTTATCTACCAAAAGCTTTTAAATTTAGTTTCTTGCTAGAGATTTTGTGTTTTAATGATAGGCAAATTCTTCTTACTTTTCACTTTTGCAGTACACTCAAATGATATTGTTAGATGCTAAGATTGTACCTATTGCTAACTGGTATCGTTTTTTTTCTTTGCTTTTTATACAAAAATTTGGTTTTGTTCCTTTACAAAAATGTTACTTGAGGTGATATTTGAGCAATGTTATCAGTTAAGGTAGATGACAACAGGGACTCTTGCTCGTAAGCGTTTGTTTACTCAATAACCATTGGTAAAATTCAACGTTAGTGTTTACAGGTAAAGTTCAACATTATCACTTACTTATCGGGTAAGATTTTAGTTCGCTGCAACGATATTGTATGCAACAATTTAGCCAGTAAAAAACTAAACGTGGTAAGATTTGTCGCTTTCACTTACTGGATAAGACTTTCGGTCTTTGTCTTTGCTCTTACAGAGTATGATTATTGGTCCTAGTTATAATCATCAAATAAGATAATACGACTCGGTAAACACTTATTCAAATAGACCGCTTCGTATAAGTCATATCATCGTTAAAATCCGACCCACCAAAGCTTCTAACTTTTTTTTACACCTAGCAAGGTAGTATAGATAGATATATAAAGATTATTTGTTTCTAATAATATTTTCATTGCAATTTGCAGGGGCGGTGCCCTTGTTTGCATTAAAACCAACGAAACCCCCTATTCTTCGCTTCCTTCTCAAATTCACAAACACGCAATCTTCATCTTCATCTTCAAATTCAATGGATCATAGTTTCAAAGATCGGGTGGATAAAATATTTGGATCTATTTCTTCTTCTTCTTCTTCTTCTTCACCCTGGTCTCTCACCGATGCCCAGGTCGAAAGGAGAGTGTGGAACCGTGATAAAGGCGACAAAAGGGATGATGACCAAACCCTTGTCTCTTCTTCTTTCAATAATTTCTTTAACTGCCAAAGAAATCGCCTCCAAGATGATGAATGGGACATTCGATCTTTCATTGGATTGGATGCTACTCTTGATAATGAGGTCCAACCTCCTTTTTTTTTTTTTTTTTATTTCTTCATTATCAGCGTTATGCTACTACATTAATTCAATATATTTACCATTTTATGCTTAAATGATTTCTTTCTCATTCTTTCTTTACTTGTTTGTTCCCGTACCCGAGGATTGGATAAATATACACACTTTTGAGCAGCCTTCAGTGAATAATATGCAACTAGATTTATATACTACTGCCATCTTACTGAACTTGGAATGTGCCTGAATACATACATACATACATATTCAAGATGAATTTGTGTGATTTATATCATGATTCTCATCTGTAAGGTACAAGTTGGATTTCTGTGATTGCAAATCTAGGCAGAGACTCTGTAAATTCCTCATGATACCTCGTTTTTTCAATTCTTATGACATGAGTGACACGTGTGTGTATGTATGCTTATTTTCCTTTTTAATTGCAAGGTTTGTTTCTTTTATTCTTTAAGCACATACCCATTTATCTGTCCTTGGTTTCAGCTTCTATTACCATATGATATGCATCTCAACTCGGTTTTATCATTACTATATGATATGTATCTTTTGAATGCCGATTATTCAAGGACCTGGAAAAAGTCTTCCCTGTGTTTCATGTCGATTATCCCCCCCCCCCCTGGTTTTTGATACATATATTTGTTACGTGACTACAAGGTTATGTTTTCTCATTGCCTTGTATTACATATGTTGATTCTCATCTGGCTGTCCCCCAAAAGAAAAAAGAATTTCTATTTATGGTCAAAGCAGCACACAAAATTGGATTGGATTGGATTTCATATGTTGCTTGGCAAAGAAAATAGCTCCAGCAAATGCATAGTAACTTATCTTGCATGCCACAAGATTTTTTTCAGTGGTGTGCCGGGCATTTAGGTCTCCTGTACCCACTATGATGTAGGCTGAGAAGTCTGTGACCGAGATAACTAATTGCAGATGGCAATTCTAATCCCATTGAATGCCTATTTGATAAAGTTGTTCTGTATTTTATTAAGAACAAGGAAGTTTCTATAATTAGCACGCAAGTAGAGAACCATGATTTCGTTGTTCGTATCTTTTCATATTTAGCTATTTAGTGGGGTGGGAAACAAGTTACTTTATATGTACTTCTATTTCTGCCGCCTGTTGTCTATGCTTGTAATCTAATGAATCCCATATATCATTATAGGAAGAGGAAGATGCATATGATAAGATGGCGCAAGGAAGGGAGGATGCTGGTGATCGCCTATATATGAAGGATGTTACTGATCATGGGCCTTACTTGAATTCTCATAACATTCTCCCTAGCTCGTTGCATGATGTAAAAAGGGATCCTCGAGCAAATCATGATGCTGCAAACACTAGGCTGAAAGAAGATATTGATGCAGTGGGTGAAAACCCTGTTTCTTCTCAGGGTATTGATGAAGTTATGTTAAATGCAGAAGAACCTTGTGCGACTGTCACAGCATCCGATGATGGTATAAGAATCAAGTCAATACTGAAAAGGAAAAATGATGATGTGGTCAAGCCGGCGAAACGTGTCAGGTTTGACTCAACTTGCAAGAATGATGATGAATTAACAAATGGCACCCAACTACAGGGTTTTGGTCTGCCCAAAGTATCTGGTAGCGTTCCAGATTACATTCTGAATCCTTCAAAGTATACACAATATAGTATTGATGAATTTTCTCATGATGCTAATACTGAAGCGTATTTGGACTTCCTTGAGCAAGTTAAGAATTCAAAAGATGTTAAATCAACTGGCGAGATGCCTAGATCGGTACTTTTTATTCCAAAGAAAAAGAAAGCTGATGATGAAGCAGCATGTAACAATAATAAGCAATCATCCACCAAAGCTGAAGCAAGCTGTGGTGTTGTCATTGCTGCTGTAGCGGTACAAGAAGGTGAAATTAGCCAAGAGATGCAAGAAGAAGCAGATGATGCTGTTTGTACTAAAGCCAGGTCTCAGAAGCCAGGTCGTCGTCAATATAGGACAAAAATGGGGGCAGATGACAATATTTGTTGATGTTTCATGTATTAAAAGTTGCTTCTTCTTTTTAAGCTGAGAACAGGAGCAAAATTCAAACTTGTTTTGGTGCATAGGATCAACCGTTTTTCTTCTTTTTAGACCAGAAAATGCAACTTGTTTTCCTTGCTTCCTTATGGAAGATTATCATTATAATAGTTATGATTTTCTTGTTTTCTGTGGTTGGTGATGTGAATATGGTGACTCAGCTCTGAGAAAGGTGATTATGTCACCAACATTTATTGCTTGGAGTTGCAAAATGCATTCATCTCTTATTATTACTTGGCCTCAAACGCAATATGGACATAATCTAACATGTATAGCAATTGAAAACAACCCACTTTTTTATTATCATTATTGGTATAAGGCCTCAAGTACTATATATATATATATATATAACCATTGATGCAAAATCACATAAACCATGTTTATTATGTGTATAACACCTATACTATAAGCAATGAGAAAAGGAGGAATAATACAAATATATTTGAGTAGTGTTTATCTGAATAATTTCTCAGCCGGTAGAAGAATTGAAGGGTATATGAGTGGCTGTCTGTGACTATAACTTATCTGCAATCCTGACCATAGCATCTGCAAGCTTATTAAGAACAGCAAATAGGCTATTTGCATGATCTTTGCGTTGTTCCCTATCTAGCTGGGAGTTGGTGTTCTGAATTTCAAGTTGGGAGCTAAGCAATCTGCCATTTCTTTCCATGGCTTCAATCAATTGATTCTGTATAGACATTTCCACCTCGTTTGTGTTTGTGTCTGTGTCTGTGGCTGGCCGCTTCCTCTTCCTTCCTTCCTCATGGGCTTCTTCAGGGTTTGGGATACTTGATTTATCTTGTGTTGTGGCTGCAATAACAAAGAAGCCTTGTTGCTTTAAATTAACCAAACACAATAGAATGGTAGGATTTGATATTAGATTTGGTTTTAAAATACACATTCTATAAACGACCATAGCTTATTTACCCAAAGCACCAGCATGAATCTTGATTCCAACAAGAAAGAGATGGGCTAAAGATGCATATTTTACGGCTAATAAACATCATCAAGGATGGATGGATGAATGAATATTCTTAAAATGAGAACATACCTGCTGCTGGAGAAAATGGCTCAAAATGTGTCGCTGCAAATTAACAATTCAAACATCCACAAAAATCATCACTTTTAGCAACAACCAACCATATGACATAGTTTTATTTTTCGTTTTTCTCTCTCCAGAGAAAAAAACGACAAATTTATAGAAATCAGATTGAACATTTTCAAAAAAAGAAAAGAAAAGAAAAGAGAGAGAACTGATCACCTGAAATCGGAGTTGGAGTTGGAGTTGGAGTTGGAGCATCTGTATCTTTCTCCGGAGTACCCAAGACCTCGTCAGAAAACAAACCATCGTCTGCAGCTGCCGTCCTCCCACTATCGAACACAGCCTCGTTCTCTGTCTCATCATTTGATGGTGCTAGTGAAAGAACCAAAGACTTGTCTCCGGCGGCAGAAGAGGGTCCTCCACCATCCAGTATATCATACACTTCTCTATCGAAAAATCCAGGCAACTTTCTCTCTCGCCTCAAATCATTTCTCATAAGCCAGAAAGATTCAGCTTCCTCTTTGATCTGGGACTCCCATTCCTTGATCTTCTTGAAATCTCCGGCGAGATTGCTCCATCTTTTCCGGCACTGAACGGGACCCCGGTTAACACCATGACGCTTACAGTAAGAGGAGACAGAGGACCATTTGGGTTCGACCTGAGATGAGCCGAAGGCAAGAACGGCGGTCCTGCCCCTGCGAACGCGATTCTCTGCGACTCTCTTGCCTTGTATAAGTACAAGAAGCTCTTGCCTGGTCCATCGAGGCAACCTGGGAGGCTTGTTGATATCTTCGGCGCCGTTGGGAAGGGGGTCGGCGGTGTCAAGGAGGACGGGGGCGAGGGTCAATCGCTCAAGAGCCATGGAGATGGAGATGGAGATGGGAGAAGGAAGCACGTGACTTAACGGGAAAGGTGGTTACTGAGTAACGGCGTTTTAGTTTAGGTGGGAGGGGTCCGTTTAGAGAAGGGAAGGGAGGGTCCTATTACTATTATTATCTCATCTTTTTTGTTTTTGATTTTCTTTGTTTATGGAAAATGAAATGAAGAGGGATTTGTATTATCATTAAGGATGACTGATGAGAGGATTAGTGGAAAATGACTTTCTTTTTCTATTTCACACATATTCATTATTATTTTTGGAAAATTAAATTGATTTTTTGTATTAAAAATGAAAACAACATATAGACTTTTTTGTCTTAGAAAAGAAAAAGAAAAAGAAAAAGAAAAGAACCTTATCTCTAAAAAGGGCACCCCTCCACTCAAATGTCCCCACCCATACTTCAAACTATTATTAAGCTCGCTAATCTTAATTAATCTTGACATTAATTAATTAATTAATTAATTAATTATTAATAAATATGTAGGAGGAGTTGCTTGTTATTTTTTATTTTAAAAATAAAATAAAAACAAAAAACTAGTATATTATTTTAACAGGCAAGTATGTTTTGTTTATGGTAGGAGGACACAGCTAAAGCTTGTTATAAACTAGTGATTTTCAACATTATAATTAATCCCCTTAAAAATATGATTAAAGGCAGCAGCACTAACTACTACTCTTACCACTAATCATATCATATCCACATTTACAAAGTGCTTCTTCCATCTTACCATCTTACCATCTACCATCTACCATCTACCATCTACCATCATCAACAAACAACTAATAAGAAAAAGTAAGAAAAAGAGAGAGATAGATAGATACGTATGAATGATGTAAACATCATAATCATACTATATAACATAATTTATTATGCAGCTGCCATCCCTTCACCAACTTGAAAAGTTAAACAGAATCAAATATGCTAATACTAATACTAATACAATCGCTTGCGACACTCTGATGTACCACAATGGCATGGCAGCATCCTTACACTCCCATTGTTGTCTACAACGCTATCAAGCTCATATCCATAGTCATAAGTAAGCTCCTGATGCAAACAACATTCATTTCATTCGTTATTCACTTCAAACAAACAATCTTCACACAATTTAAACACATACCTGCATGGGGGGTATGTTGTCACAAGCAAACAGAACTACTCGCGCAAGTTTTACATCATGGTGCCAGCTTAAAACACACTGAACAAAAAGGTTTGGGTCACAACTGTGGTTGATAAACCTTGCAACGTTACCAACACACCCAGCGTCTATGCAAAACTCAGCCTCAGGCAAACCACCCTGATCATCCAATTCATTGCTTACAGATTCAGACACATCTCCCAACCTCCTCTGAAAATCAAAAACAAACAAAAAACTTCAGTACCTCTACAAAAACCATATTTTATTTGTTTCACTCCTTACAAATGTAAATAAGTAAAATCCTCCACATCCAATTCAATCATTAAATGCATGTATGGGATATGATCACATATAGGTCGCTGCACCTACTTTGATTTTGAAGTAATGGAGCAAACTATATGGCCAAGCATTCTTGCTGTAGTTGATTATTGAGGGCAAGAACCAACATCATTTTTCCCCTCCCTCCTATCAAACAACTCTGTAACCCTCCCAAAGTCCCACTCCAACTCCCTCCTTCCCGTTTGCCTAAGACAACTTCAACAAAACGAAAGATTATCCCAATATCACTTTAACAACCTAGAATGGATTCTACCCAAGTACTGAAGCAGTCGCGATGCCTTGAATCTAGAAAAAGTGATCGGTGGATGTACTTGAAGAGTATTTTCTCTTAATAGCTATTTTTGGCCCTTATCTTCTCAGTCTTCACATGGTTTATACTTGAAAAACCAAAAGGGATACAGCCATGTAACTTGGCTTATTCTTAGAAGTTCGTTCTTACAAGATTTTCTTCTTCGTCATTAGGCCACTGCATATCTTCTCCCATAAGTTCAGGCTGCCCACAATGCATTTATGCAAGTCACGTTGCATTAAATACTAAGCATGCTTTATAGTCCTTACCCGGGTTGACTTTCTGAACCTGCATGCAGCTTTTACCACGCATGTGACAGTGTACTTTCCTCCTTGTCTGTTGAAAAAGACAAACTCATCCGTTGACAGGATGCTAGTAACTGGCTTCCATTGTTAACCCATTTGTCAATGGCTATTAGTTGGCGTTGGTTGATCAGATGCTAGGCTTCCCACTGATCTTTTATCAGTTGTTCAGCACACGGACATTAATCTTGGATTAAATAACCAACTTATCAACATCAGGTCCTGATATATCATCCACTGATGACCTTAGATTTGGCTTGTCAGCACTTCTGCCTATTAGTAGCTAATCCTTGAGCATCAGGTGAGTACCCGACGAGGAAGAGCTGCGGTATCCTCAGCAAAGCTTCAATGGCTACAACTTTTAGTGTCAACTGCTAGTCATCAGTGTCGGTGCCTATAAATGGTCACTACTAACTTCACCTAAAATTAACCAAGTGTTTTATTAGTGTTTGTCTATCATCAGCTCTTCATTCTAACCAGGGATCAACATGTTCCCAGCAAACGACCAAACATGTCCAAAAACCACAACAATCTTCCCGGTGAACTAAAATCCCTCTGCAAATTTTGTAACTGTAGTCAATTTCGCATCTGAAAACCATCTCCAACGGGAACACCAATTGTAACACCGAATTTGGTGTAATGAATAGTAACACACCAAATTTGATGAAACACTATTTATTTAAACCGAATTTTATACCAATGGGAAAAGATAAAGAAGAATAAACCTAGAATCTAACATTTTGGTGTTACCCATTGGAGATGCCCTAAGGGTATCAAGTAGCAGAACAGTTTAACTCCTATATATTATTATTATTCGGAATTTTGTATGTCTGGTTTTCCATGGTATTTGATTCACAGAAGATATGGATGCAACATGTATGCTTCAAAAGATGATTCAAGCAATTATATTTAAATTGCAGCTTTTCCCTTTGAAACAGTAGTACCATCTACCCAATTTGAACAAGAAATGCCTTATATGTAATACTATGTTGGAGTATAATGAATATCTATATTTACCTCTCTTCCTCCAATCCCCTTCATTGTTTGCCAGCAATCAATTTCAAATATATAATCGTTTTCAGCAACATTGTCCAGCTCATTTGTCCTCCTAAGCTCTCCAATATATTCACACACCGGTGCACCAGAAGGGATAAAATCTTTGGTCTTGACAGCCCAACCTCTATCGGATGTACGGAAAACCTATTAAAAGAAAAAGTAACAACAATTAACTAAAATGAATGCATTTTCTAAGCTGCACATCTTGCATAATAGATAATCGACTTTGGATGTAAAACCTCAAGTTGATACTTTATCCCTTGCTGGGATATGCGGTTGATGCAACCAGGTCCACATCCACAGTTTGGTCCACATTCGAACACAACATCCTTTGGTTCAATCAATCTAAACCAGAGAAAAGAACATAATTCAGGAGAAGGCCAATAAACACAGAACATAATTTTATCAGTAGGAAGGCGACAGAAGCTAACTAATATGTAAACAAGCAAAAAATTAAAATGGATGAAATGGGTTTGGCCAGAATTGGAGAGCACTAATATACAAAATAGGATTACCAAGTAAAAAGGTTGATCCTGAAGCAGTTCGAAACGGGTGGAGACACCTTGTTTGACGTTGTGCAATTAAGAAGCTGTTTCAAGTGACAACATCCTCAGAACGCACACAGACATACGCACACACACAAATGCCAAATGTAAGAGGTGGCACGTCAGTTGCAAGTCACCTTGTCTGCATCATTCTTAATTACTTGCTGAATTACTTTTCATTAGGCGCAACGTTAATATAAAACTTGCCACAAGCATAATTGGAATGCACGGATTGGCCAGTTCCTATTCGGGAGCTGCAATTTCTTAACTGCAGCAGTTTCTACTCCTGCTAACAGTTTAGCACATTCTTTGTCATTACTATGGGGTCCTGAAGCACAAGGATATTTTACTTGTTGGTGTCAATTAGGCAGCCCGTGGACTTTTGTTGCTCAATAACCCCTGATGCTAACTAACTCACTCTTAAAAAATTTACCTCTTTGACATACTAGTTATCAATGGTTATAGTATTATCAGAAATCAAATAAAAATTAGGACTTGAAAATATAAAATAACATCTGACAGCTCAAAAATGCTGCAAGAATGCAATACTACCATGTCCTATCAACTCTTTTGTTGAGTATGGGACTTGATTATGCAACACCCGTCACATGTCAGTCCACAAGCATCGTACAATATAAGCTTCGGTATAGGGTTAAACACTACCTTCCCCCATTGCTTCGTACATATGGAAAATCAAAGCCGTTAAGTCTAGCACAAGCACAAGTCTTTGGATTCGTGCAATTTCCTTTGCATTCACATCCACCGGCAGTTGGAGGGAGGTTCAGATTGCTAGCAACTTGATTATACTTTGTATACGTAAAACCTAAGAAAATTCAAAAGACGTTGAGGTGTTAGTAAAACAAACAAAATGTAGAACAAACAGAATCTATAAACTGCAAATTATGTCCGTCGACTATCCACCTAATGAAATTGTTTAGTCCATTGTCTTCTTTTTGCGCTCTTGGTATATTGCATTCAGGAGCTAAGCAAGTAAGCAATGGTACTCAGCAATTCATTAATTGAATCTACATAGAGATGTTCAAGGAACAGCTGCTGTGACTTGACAGTGTCGCAGACTGCAACCATTAGCTTTTGTCGGTGATAAATTGATTATTGAATATCACAGCTGTGTAGATTTAGCTATACTATGCGTATAAATAGTCTTCTCATTTGTTCACATAGGCATAACAATTAGGCATGTTTCTTCTGTAATCTCTGATTGTAGTGACTAGAGAGGAGAAATCTGTATTCAAGAAAGAAAGAAGAAGAAATAAACAGAGGCTGCCATAGATGTAGATACGGGTTGAATTAACTCAAACTGAACCATGCAAATCTTGGTGTTGTGGTTGATTGCTTTTTTTCTCTATTATAATATTCTTATAAGTTTCTTGTTTGATTTGTGAATTGATTTATTGTATTTGTTCACTTCTTGATTTGTGAGACAAGCTAAATGGTGGGACTTGGCACACACATGCCAAGTTCGCGTACAACAATGTAGTCCACACAACTTCAAGTAAGTCTCCTTTTGCAATTATACATTGTCAAACCCCTAAATACGCGAACCTCCAAAGATGAACATCTATCATACCTCCGATGTGGCAGCTCTTTACAAGTTCCGTGACGAACTCTGCATTATGCAGACTATAACTCGAGGTTGATTTCTAACAGGTGGGAAGCGTTGGTGAAAGACAAATGACCTCAGAGTTTGAAGGAGAGATAAACTAGGAACTTGTTGGAAGGAAAGAATGAGTTGGGGTTGTTCTAGGTAAACAGATAATATAATAGATTAATAATTGCCAGTAATATAGTATGTGCAAATATTTTACTTACTTTATCATCAGTTCTATTATGGTAAGTTTTATAATGATAAGTCAATATTTAGGAGACAAGTTTTAGTTTTTCCAAGTCAATTTTGGGTTCCAAGAACAAATTTAAACCTCTCACTCTTTGGTTTTAATTTATTAAGTTTGAAATTGTTTCTCTAATCTTTTTTATTTCTCGGGTAAACCCCAAGTGGATATTTCAAGATCTACGTTGGTAGTTTATTCTTGAATTCTGGACGTGTGATAAGTATATGCACCCCTGTCTCTTCCTCACACTTGGAGAAGTTTGGTGGATTTTCAGTTTTCTTAATATCAAAAACAAAGCAAAACAGTCAAATCTGAAGGAATGAGTCCGATGGATGAAGCATAAAAAGAAGGCTCGAGATAGGAAGATAGTTAAAAAGTACATCCAAAATTAAATTATAGTACAAATGAATGAAATTATCATATATGTATTTACGTATCATTATCTACACTGCTACACATGTGGAACAAATAGATGCAAGTAAGTATTAAATCTAAGACTACAAATGATCACTTCTCCAATTCTATTATTTCAAATTCTTGTATCCAACCAAGAAGAAACAAGATTAAAACTCACAAACATGACAAGTTGCAAACACTCAAACAGAGAGACAAGAAAAGATAGCAACATATCTCTAGGTGAACTTATCATACAACCTTCGTCTCATACGCTACCAAATTGAAAATTGCATACATATACTTGAAAAGTAATTGGTTTGTTCCAAGATAGAGCTACCTATTTGGAGGCCAAAGGGGCTAGTCTTCAAAGACAATTGATATGGAGTTAAAAAAAAATTCTGCGTGTGACAAATGCTACAAACAAATTAATGTGCATGCTATATTTGAAACAAATTCCAAATTAATCTCATATTAGATATATGTGAGGTTGATTGTTAACAAAATATTTGGTGTCTATGGGCTAGGAAATGCAAGCACATGTATGCGTGTATAGACAGAGAATGAGAAAGAGAATGAGGTGAGAGGAAAACTCATGCACTAGAAAGACCCATGCAAGTGGCTTACATTAAGTGGGTATCTCCATCATGAATGCTTCACCATTTCTTTCTGCTAATCACTATATCCTCAATGTTTTCTCAATAAACAATTTAAGGAAAATCATATATTTTTCTGAAAACTAACTGAGCTAACCCATAATTTTTTGGGACATAGTACTCGGCTCTTCCAGAATATTTACATTTCTTTTTATGTAAGCATGCTTATTCATCTTCTGAAATTTGGACTATTTTAATTCAACCAGATGACGATCATAGAAGGGGATACATACACACAACACACACAGTCACACACACACACATTTATATATATTATGAGAAAGGGAGAGAAGGGGGTATATACGCGCGCGCACACACACACACATATATAAGAAAGGGAGAAAGGCAGAGCATATCACATTTTTTTGAAGTATATATAAAATGTATATATGGTGAGTTTGGAACCCTTGACCTCTTGAAAGGTTGGTTTACCAAATACCTGTGGGTTAAAAAACCTTGTTGTATATAACTTGCAATTTAAGAAAGAAAAATTAGAGATAAGAGTGAGGAAGCAGGATATATGGGTGTATATATTGTTAGGTGACCTGTGGGCATATAGAAGAAAATAGAGTAGGCTACAATATTGGTCCATGTGGTTTGTCAGTTATAACAGTTTTCGACTCCACAGTTTCCAAAATACAAGATGGCCATCATGGTTTGTCAAAATGTCCAGCTTTGGTCCCTCCCTCTAATGGCCGTTAAAAAACCTGTTAAGTGAGGGGAATTTTAGACTTTTTACACTTCCGTATCATCTTTCTTTAAAAATAAAAATAAATAGTGAATAATAAATCATTAATATACATTATATACACGTTTTACTCAAAACCAATACCCCCCCAACCATCCGCCTTCGGCCTTCCAGCCCATTCCCTGCCAGTACCACCAATTACCACCCATCACCAAAAGCAAAAACATCGTCCACACCACAACATAAAGGGATTGAGTTTCACGCATTCACCAGAGGGTGTTCATTGCTGCGGTAATAGAGAGATGGGAGAGGGAGAGAGGTGTTCGCCGGCGTAGTTGGTTCCTAGAGGTGGTCGACGATGTGTGGTTTGGGGGATAAATACGTGAAGAGAAACCATGTATATATTAGAGTAAAATACAGTTTGTATATGTATTAATAAACTATATTATATATATACTAATTAATATATATTACTAAAAAATATTTGAAGGAAACATAATACAAAAGTGTAAAAATCTAAAATGCCCCCTGACTTAATGGGGCTTCTTAACAATGTTAGAGGAAGGGACCAAATGCGGACACTTTTGCAAACCACAGGGACCAAAATTCTAGTTTACTTGAGAAAATAAATACACCGGCAGCAATATGAGAATTATACCCTAAAAAGAGTGAGCCACATAGCACGTGAGAACAGGGTTCCATTAATGTTAACAGAGGTAGGGAATAATTTAGTAAGAGATTTGACATTAGGAACTGCTATAGCAAAAAGAATAATTCAAGGGTCTAAAACTATAAGGTTGTGAGCAGGCCAGATCAAACTATTTAAGCCACTGTTGTCATTACTGCTTTCCCTCTTATTTTTGACAAATTCGGTTCTCTTACAAATGAGAAAACTAACATTAACTAAACTTACTTTTTGATGAAAATCCTTCATGTATGAGTGACCTTAGCATAATCTCTTCAAAGTTCTACAAAGCTGGTTGTCAAATCCAGTCTAGAATGGCAATGCATGATGAACAGCGACGTCTTAGAGATTCTTGTAGCTGCTTATTAAAATATATGCATAGTATACAGCAATTAACTATGAAATTGCAATTGTAATGAATGATTCGCATAATCTCTTCAAAGTTCTACAAAGCGAGTAGTCAAATCCAGTCTAGAATGGCAATGCATGATGAACAGCGACGTCTTAGAGATTCTTGTAGCTGCTTATTAGAATATATGCATAGTATACAGCAATTAACTATGAAATTGCAATTGTAATGAATGATTCATGAAAGATATTGAATGGTTATAGGGTTTATGGCTCTCGAGAAGCCAGATTCTCTCCCAAGGCTTTCGCCCAAAACACACTTACAAATTGATCGATCCCCTTTCTCACCTTCTGCCCCCTTAATTATACCAAGTAAAACTACTCTCACCAACTAAAACCCTGCATTACCCACTTGTACCACAGCCTACTATGTTTCACTATTTGACCCCACTACCCCAGGGAATAACAAACTACTTTTAATTAAGTTAATAACTTTGTAAAAAGGTTCGCTGAGGAACATTTGACATCATACATGAGTTGGTAGTACTAGCAAGCAGAAGGAATCAAACTGTGGAATCGCTGAGAGAAGTAGTTCAATAGTGAATAGACAAACTTACCGGTAATAGTTGCATCATCAATTGTATTGATAGCAGGTATATACACATCTTCTTGACCTTCAGCTACATCCAGGCATACCAACCTTGTAAAGATAAAATGCACATAAGTTTATCTGTTAAGAGTTATATAGCAGTAAATACTTGCACAACCATGTATTATGTCATACTGAGGTGATTTAATAGGAATCCTTGAGGAACGCCCATTGCTATACTGAACCTGTATTAGAAATTCAAATGGAAAGTAGATATGCATATAAGAAACCATTACAGGCTATATAATATGATAGATAAAAGTACATACAAGATGCATTCTTCCATGCAAGGATGCAAGTTAAGAAAACAGCCCTTTAGAAGTGTCGATCAATCATTATTTTAACTTACCTAAATAAAATAAAAAACAATTTGCTTCCCCTACCCTCACGAATGGTTCTGATTGTTATTCGGCTGCAGTGCTAGAAAGATTGTGTTTTACAGGGATGGGACACATTAGGTAGTAGATAATAAAGGTGGAAATTGCTGCATGTAATCATTATCGAAATTCTCTTTAAACTTAACCAAATTATGTTGCCAAGACCAAGCACAGAAGAGGCTAGTTGTACAAAAAGGAGAAGGACCCAAACCAAAATTTAGTGACAGCACATCATCATTAATTGGTTATTTTCCCCACCCACCCTGCTTTTATATAGTAGACCCAAAATCCCTAAAGAGAATTACCCCCTTAGACTCCCCTAGGAAGTACCATCATCTTTCCTTATTGAAGACAGATATATCATTATACCTCCATGCCTTCTTAAAATGCAAAAACTGCACCCCAGAATTACAGGCAAAAACTGTTAATCATCAATGTACTTCTTAGAGCTTCAACTTCCATTACATAAAATTTTTGTTACTGTTGGTTAAAGTACTTTGAGCATGTGTTTCAGAAACCCAACATCATATTCTGTAGTCAAAACTAGCAGTTGAGAGTCTAAACACTTTCAATGCTTTATATAAAAGTACTTAACATTAACTTAAAAACCCACTGTCGATTAGCCTTTAGTGCTGTATTTGTTAAAGCATCTGATAAATAGAGTGAACTTTTTTGTATTCTTTGTTTTGTTTAATGTACTAGAAACAGATGCTATGAATCAGAGCAAAGGACTAATATATTGCTACCCTTTCAAATGTATAATGTATAATTACATTTTACAATCAATGCTGGATGTACAGTAAACAAGATGCTAAGAGATAAAAGTACGAAATTTGGAAGACCAAAACACAAATTAGTTAACCTGATTCCTTGTCAACTTAGGCTGTCCTTCAAGACGCTTCAGGCGATACTTATCAGCAACAAAACCAGAGAAGCCATCTGCAGGCCAGCATTCAGACACCTGAAAAACACTGTACACAAATGACGATATTGATCGAACATCTGAATCTTACTAACTGAAAATTTATACCTGTCATCATCAAACTGAATCATCTGATTTCAAAAAACATTTAATATGAAAATATTCAAGAGAACGGTCTCTCAGGTTTCTGTTTAAATTACTGCCAGTGCCAAGAGAGCGATTATGCATTTAAAGAAATTGAAGTATCAACGATAAGAAATTTGATAAAATCTCTCTACAACTTTTTATCGCATCAACAAAAAAAAATTCTTGACAAATACATTTAGTTGATTTACTGCGTGATGATTTTATTGAAAAAGATTGACGTCGCGGTATTTATTTCACCCAAGATTGGGTCTCTCTACCAGGTGAAAGACAAACAATTTAATAATGAAAGAATAACTATAAGTTACAATAACAAAGAAAGGTTACTTAACAAACATTTATTCATAGACCCTGTTTAGAATCCAACAGAAGGCAAGAGTACATACTATTATAGCTCATATAAAAGCTAGAGTGACTTAAAAACATTTCTTAATTGATTCATACATAGCCCTTCATCGAATTCACCATGAAAAGAGTGTTCATCTTAAAGAAGTAGCAAGATTACCCGAGGGAATCCACATTGTTGAATTTAGTTTGTCCCTTTAAACAGGCTATAATTTTAGCTTCTCTGGACTCTCGCTTAAACTTCCACTTAGAAGCATATTCTTTACCTGTTCTGTAATATAGTTATTAGAGAATTATAGTTGTCATGCATAATACAAAGCCATGACAATAGCATTGGAGGCTAACATACAACAACATAGAGCTTTTAGTATCATCGCACATTGAATTTGGGCCCCAGTTTAAATATTTAGTTGGCAGAACTGATATATCATAATCAACATGGTGTAGTAACTAAACAAATCAAGATGCCAATAACTTGTTGGCATCAGAGAGAGAAGTTTCTAACCAAATTAATGTATTTACCTTGTACAGACCATCATACGTGTATAATCTGAATGAGTGATGGCCACCTGTGTGTCCTCGTACAACCCTGACAGGTGTAGCTTGCTCCATACTGTTCTGTACACATAAAAGAATATAGATTCTTGACAAGACACAGAGAAGAAAAAAGAGCAAAAATAAAGAATGGGTGGAGCAAGAACGAAACATGTATATACTTCATATAAGGGCAATAAAGGGAAGAGAAGCTTTATATTTCAAATGAAAAGGTCACATTCACTTTACAGAATTCCTACTAAAATCAGACAGAGGTGGCAAATGTTCCACTCTGATGCTCTATCATCCTTACACCTTATTACAATGGGAAATGTCTGCACTAGTTAGATCGGTACATGCTTGCACATGTCACCTATTAATAATTATATGTACGTATGAACATGACAAGGAAGAGGATTAATGAAGGCAAGGCACTAAATAAATTATGCCAGAATCTGCTTGGCAAAAACCACGTTGATAGTTTACAATAGGACAACATAGCAGGCTTATTTAATAGGTATTTTCCCATTGCATCGGCATTAAATAAAAAACGTAAGTTGGTAAGTAAAATCGTGTGATATATTTATGATTGTATTTTAGAGAAGATTACACACACGTCTATATATATACAACTACACAATGTAAAAAAGAAATCATATTGCTACACTAAGAAAGTAAAGACCTAATTTACTATATCAAACACTCCTCAAGTTGGAGCGCAGATGTTAACATTGCCCAACTTGTTACGAACAAAATTTATTTGTGTTTTTCATAAAGGCTTTGTAAGAATGTCTGCAAGCTGGTACTTAGTCCTGATGTGCATTGGTTTGGTTGGGTTGATGGAGGGTATGTTTGTGTTCCCACAACACGGTCTCTAATAAGAAGACAATCAACCTCAATGTGTATGGTCCTCTCAAGAAATTGATTCTTGGCTATATGAATAGTTGACTGGTGATCACAATACAATATCAACAAGTTGTTTGTAATCACTCCAAGCTCTAATAAGAGTCTCCTTACCCATGTCATTTTGCAGGATATATCTGCCATAGCTCTATACTCTGACTCAGCACTTGATTGGGGATATCAGTAATCACAAAAATGGGAATACCTTGAGTTTCAGTTGATGGAAATTGGTGCAAGGGCAATGGCAGCTAGGGGTTATAGGAGACTGGGATGATAGATGCACCGGCTTGGGGGGGGTGAGGTTTCAGGCAACAGCTAGGCTCCAACAAAGTTTTAAAGAGAAGGCTATGACACCATGAAATCATGTGATATATTTATAATAATCATATTGCTACACTAAGAAAGTAAACACTTAATTTACTATATCCAACAGTAGGAAATTGAGATGCATGCATACTTTCAAACAAAACATATTGGTGTTAATAGTTTTTGCTTTAGGGTCATATTCAGCACTATTTAAATAATAATAAAAACTGACAATTCAAAACATCTTTTTTCTTTTTCCTCCTACATGGAGGCTGACCAGATATGAGAAAAAGAGAATTTTACGAGCACCACTTCAGGAAACAAGATATCAGAGATTATATTGACATGAAGTAGTTAAAAACGAATTGACCTGAATAAAGAATTAGTAAAAGTGCAACATTCCTTACTACACAATGTAACATGTCACAAAGCTCAAACACTCATAATGCAATAATCATCTTTCCAAGTTCCAACGCAATCTTAATGTTTGCTCACAGTATCTAACCATAAGAACTATAATCACAGTATATGTAGGTTTGAGTTTCATATTTTTCAAGCACACTTGGTAAAGGAAAATAATAAAAGAAAGCAATAAAAATGATAGACTTGAATGATAACTTTAACTCCATAATAGCCTTCCAGATTTTAATGTTTCGCCATGTAGGGAGGGTCTGGATGCAGAGAACCACTCACTTTTAAAGCCAAATTACCACATGACATCTCTTGATGTTTATTGCCCATAAAATTATTTCCACCTTGACCGGTATAAACAACATCTTCCGAGTTATCCAGATCATCTTCGTTTTGACCAGACAATATAATTGCTACAGCTAACGGAAATGTGCACCCTTTGAACTCCTCCTGCAATATTAAACACACCATGCTTGATAAGAGTTAACTACAGGGAGCTAGTGATATGATGCATTCTTCATCTAAATGCAAACACACTAACTCTTGATGAAGTGTCAGGCAACATGGTGGATCATGTATGTGAATGCATACACATCCACTCTAGCAAAGGTAATTCAAAAGACTAATACTAATTATTAAAAGAATAACTACAAGTATATGGTCCCTGGTTACCTTTATATTGTTCTTATCCTATGTGCTGATGTTTGTAGGATACTTTGAGACTGACGACATCTTTTAGTAACTTAATCATAAAGTTGACTACCATTCCAGAACTTCAGTCACTTTAGAATTCCACTATTCAATGCTTTCTCATAGAGCAAAACATGCCTTGAAAAGGGATTCGGTTCTTTAGAAAATCTTTTTTATTGAACATAGAAATAAGTCGAAGACATGAAATGATGAAATCAAATTCTTGAAGCTTCATAAAGCAACTAGCTCAAGTCATTATTTCCCACTCGAAACATCCACTGTGATAACCCACAACGATTAAAACAACCAAACCATATTAGAAATATGTGCAGAGAAGTCATGGTTTCTTAAAAACTCTTAGTTTAAGACGGTATTTGCCTAAACATACAAAACCTAAAGTCATAACATAGGGCAAGCACATAAGAACAAATCCAGAGGAAACATATATGAGATGAATTTAGAGAAGTGTAAAAAACAAATGAAAATAAACTTGCTACAGCCTACAAAGATGAAAAAGGAAATGAATGGTTCCAATCTGAAAGTACTGCTGAACATAAGGTAAGGTAAATTTGTACAAATAGCTACCTGTGAACTAGAACACATCAAGGCAGACACTTGTTATGGGATATTCACAAAATCAAACATGACGAGCATGATAGGGTCACAGGATTACATCCACAAGGGTATGGTGTCAGCATGGGAGTAGCTTAATAACAAGATTAACCATTCTTAACTCCACCTGTCTTAATGTTCTTAATGTTGCTGCTCCAAATATACACAAATTCAGATGAAATGGCATCAATCAATTTGAACCGGAGAACAAGAACAAAATATTGACAGTGCCCCATGATTATCTGTTTAGGCCAACATGAGGTAAAATGACCAACAGGACAGGTGCTAGGCATATCACACTAACATGCTAGGACAGCACAGTTAACAGATTCTCGGGCAGCTATACTTTATGTGCCCAACATTCTACTTCACAATTTTGCGAGACATACTGCACTTACTCTTCAATTTTGTGAGACATACTTGCTCCTGTCACAAATTCCTCCACTCTCTTTTGTCTATAGAGAAATCTTGAAAAAGACCATCTCGTTCCTCAAACTCAATTTCATCTTTGACTCTTACATGAACGCAACCCTATAAAATTTACCAAGATGCTATGGAAAAATCTTTCGACTTCTCTGTTGCACCTCCTCAATTGCCCACTTGTCTTTCAAGAACCAAAAATGAAACTTCGTAGGGATGTTCAGAAAAAGCTGTCAGATCACTCAAACTGGTCGGATCAAGTCAAAATGGACCGTTTATGGCGACATGAGCATTCTAGTGGTCTGGTTCGGTCTGAAAAATAGCCAAATCAGGCGGTTCGGTCCGATCTATGGTTTGAACGTTTTTTGAGCGGTTTGGACCGAACAGACCGCCAATTTAAAAAATTGTAGTTTTTCATGTTGTAGGCCCAACATTTATGACCTGATTAAATAAAAGGTTCCATCCGAGACATTAGATTTTTTGTTTTCACTTTTTCAATTGTCCATGTTCCCTAAATCGGCACAATCTCAAAATCACCAAAAATCAAAATCCAAAATTCCAAATCGCCCTTCGGTTCCTTAAATCAATGTTTGTTTAATTTTGGAGATAAATGTTTCTTCTATAATTTGGTATAATGATTTTTTTTATAATGTTGTATAGATAGATGTTTAATTTTGGAGATAGATGTTATGTTTTTTTAGTTTAAAGACCATAAATAGGCCCAAACTGGTTAGACTTGACCGCCTTTCTGCGTTCCAGTTGAACAGATTTGGTCACTTGATGCCAAACCACTCGGTTTGGAAAATTTCCTGAACCGCTATTGCGGTTTGGTTTATGGTTAGGGGGGTTAAACCACCCACACTGAACCACGAACACTCTCTAGAACTTTGATTAAAAGATTTATCTTAAGCAACATTTCTTGTCTCGTTCATGCCACCTTGGAGGGACATGTGACCATTTTGATTCCTCATCGTTGACAGTTTCTTCATCAATGATGTTTCCATCAACAGTTCCCTACAAAGTTGTTGGGGTTCATCAATGGTTACGGCAAGGGTGAGAGCAGAGTGAAAATGGGAGGGAGAGCAGAGCAAAGGAGACAAAAAATAATAGATAAGAGAAAGGAGACAAAAAAGAGAATTAGGATGATCAGTTACGTGAATCTTCAACTCTTCATAAAGAGAAAGGAGGGAATATTTTCAAACTTCTATTCAATGGAGTTGGAAGAGGAAAAACTGCAAAAAGCAGGCCGAGCTAAGTGTTAGTTTGATCCTGAATCACACCATTGCTAAAGTTTATGCAGTATGGCAATATACAAATAAAATTCAACTATTATCACTGCAAAAGTTGAAAATTATTATTCAAAAGTGGTGGTCGTTTTCATTCTTTTCTACCTAATATTGTTATAAAACATGCCCACCGCAGGATAGCTTCTTCAATGCAAAGCCATGCAAGACTAAGACTAACCTTATGTTTATGGTGATCATAGATTTATATGAAAACGATACGAAAAGCTAAGTAAACAGTTACTGTTAAGCGAACCGGATAAATATTTGGCTAGGAAAGCCCATGAAAAGAACATGAGACTATCGATCAAGCCCACTTCCACAAAAATAGCTCATACCATTTTTCTGTAAGATTGTCCCATATAATCAATGTCGTTAAGCCAGTGACTATGAAGACCTACAGCAACCATTTCAGCTCGTGAATAAAATTGATAACCAACGTCAATACCTGCAGAAATTTCATATGCTTTAGTTTAAAAAAATCACAACATAACTAAATTCATTGATAGTTATAACTTATAACTAACCGATAGAAAGAGCATGTGTCAACATGATAGTCTTTGTTACTCAATTTCATTTTCACCCAAATCATTTGAACAAACCAATTAGATTTTCTAATGTTAAGGTTGTCAAAAGAAAATAGAAATGAAAGGCAGAAGGAAATAATATTTTCAAGTTTTCTACATTGTCTATAGAAGAAAGCACACGTCCGGATAAAAATGTGATTGAAGTTCTATTACTTGTTTTGTAAAGGAAATTACAATATTTTATTATGAAGAAATCTTTGACCCAACATTCAAGATTACCTCTATCGGTTGTTTATTGTCCCTTGTAGATAATTTCAGTTGGTCCTTGAGCCAACTGGATGTAAAATATGCTTTACAAAATGGTGATATCGAAGAAGTGTCTATGTGTCCATCATCAGGATTGAAAAAGTTTATAGGTCAAGACAAATTTGTAGATTAAGAAAAATCCTTATATGGCCTTAAATAGTCTTCAAGAACGTAGTTTGAACATGATGGAAAACCCATAAAGAGTTATAGGCATCACCGGAGTTAAGCCAACTATATTACGTTCTATAAACATTCCATAAAGGAATATATTGCAATCTTATTTTTCAAGATTATCATATGTGTTGTTCAAACAACGTTCTTGAAGACTATTTAAGGTCATATAATGACTTCCTTTAATCTATAAACTTTATCTTGACCTATAAGCTTTTCAATCCTGGTTATGGACAAACAGATACTTCTTTGGCATCACCATTGAGAAAAGCATTTTTCTATATCATGCTGGTGCAAGCACAATCAAAGAAAAACTTGAGGATGGTCCAATAGCAAGTTTATCCTTGATGGAGTATTTGACAACCAAGATTCTTGCCATTGGACTACATGAGGGACAATTTGACTTTTTAGGAGGCAAGCTAGCAAGGAAAGACATCTACAAGTAAGCTTGTGGGGAGTGTTGAAAAGGTGAATAATTTAGTAAATTTCTGCAAAATATTCTATATTCTCTTGTAAATATAGCAGGTTGGGTCAATATCTTTACCCAAAAAAGATTGGGTCAATATCTTTACCCCAAAAAACATCGAGTCAATAACCTAGCAAGCGATTTGGGATTTAAATGATTGCTACAATCATACGATTTAGCTAGAATACTTGATTTTATACAAAATTTATTTAAATTGTAATCCTATTTGAATTAAAATTGTACAAGGGAAAAAAGTACTTTTTTCTGCTCAAGACTTCATAGAAAAACAATTGTATCAATTCTGACACAAGTTAGATTATCTGAAATGACTATCATGTATATTTAGATAAACCACTTAAGTATCTGTTTGATCACCAAATCTCAACCGACTAGTTCTACTTAACAAACACTAAGTAAGCCTTAAGCAAATGCTATCTTAAAATAATGAAAAAGAAACAAGATCTCTTTAAGAGATAGCGTGTTTTGAAAAGGTGTCAATCTTGATTGATGTCCAAGAAAAGAACCTTTTGGCAGGTACAGTAACGATATGGCTTTTATTCCCTTACATGTTTTTCTGCTTTTCTCTATTTTCACGGGTTTATCAAAGCCTGGTCACTTATGAAAGAATATACTATTATTTGAGCAAAAATGCATAAACATCTTCCACTTCCCTAAGTTCATTGATAAATAATCATGATATAAAGCAGAACATATATTTGTATTTTAGAAAGGAGGCAATTATTCACCTACCAGGCAGGTGACCAAATCTTTTTATAGGGAACAAAACTTCATTACACTCTAACATCTGCATCATTCAGATATCAAGAAAAGAAGCACCATCAACACACAACACAAAACATTTAACTAAAAAGCAGGCAAAACACATGTGAGGGTGCACAAAGAAAGGTATTTCCCTCCCAGCCACCCACGTAGCACACAAGCCCTAACAACAATAAGACTTTCCAACTTCCAGTGCGTAACGCGCGATTAGAATTCAAAACAAAAAAACAACCATGCTGGAAAGAACAAAAGATGGAAGAGAAAAATCAAAGCCACAACTCTAGTTTTGGCAGTACTCTAATGATAAGAGAAGTATGGAAAACAGCTAAGGACCAGTCCGAGGTAAGTTCCTATGTGGTTAAGAGTGAAGATGTAAAACCACCAAGAACTGGTCTCATGTGCTAGGGCCCGGTTCTTTTGGCACCTCTACTGCCATAATTATGTACTGATAAGTTTTAGAACTAGTTCCCAAGATATGCCTCTTTTTAAAACTACTTCCTAAATTATATTTGTTTTAAAACCACCTTTGCAAAATATGCTTGCTCCTACAACTACTACGTGAAATATGCTTGTTTTTAGAACAACTTCCCAAATATGTTTGTTTTCAAAATATAATTTTTTATGTTTTCAGAAAAAATACAATACATGAGAAAACAAGCATATTTGGGAAGTAGTGTTCAAAACGAGCATATTTTGGGAAGTAGTTTCGAAAACAAGCAAGTTTTGGGAAGATGGTTTGAAAACAAGCATATTTGGAGAAGTACTTTTAGAAAAGGCATATTTTGGGAATTTGTTTCAAGTATTAATGATACTTTTAACCCTTAATAATGAATGAACAATGAAGCATAAAAATTATTTTCATAGCCAAAAATCTTAGCTAGTTGAGAACATTGATTGTGTGTTTGGCGCTACTTCCCAACTCTTAATAGCCATGTAATCATGTATGTCCTTCAAGTACATGTAAGTGCAGTTATTTTCATAAATTATGATCCTTTACAATGTAAGGCAAACAAAAAGTTACCTTAGATATGGCCTTCATATCAGGACGCTTAATAGATCGCATACCATCTTTCTGCACATGTTTAGTAAGGTCAACGGTGATTCAGCAATACCAGAGATTGAACACATAACTTATTAAGCCAAGCCAAATTTCAATAGTTATAAACTGAAGTACAACAAACAACAAAGCAACTAATGCAAAAAACACCTTATATATTACCTTCAAATCAAGATGTTTTGCAAGCTGTTTACCATTACTTTCACATGCATTCTGTTCCTGCATGTGTTTGTTATGTTAGTGCAATAAAGTAAAGAAGTTCATAAGAAGAATCCATTGTCAGGATAAGGAACAAAGCGAATACAGAACAGGACGTCAAGAACTCATGAAGCAATTAGTAATTAATTTCAGTGACAACCAAATAAGATAGCAAAGTAGAAAAGATGATTGACACCCAAGTGTTGGTACTTAGTAATGAGGAATAACCATAAAATGGAAGAAAAGCGATTGTGAACTTGTGATGCAGATTCACATGACATAAAATAACCATAACATACTACTGATATCAATCTACTGCAAACCAAAAAACAGCCTTGACGGCTATGAGCATATAACATAAGGTGGGGTGCACACGTGTACCTATACATGGTGTCAGAAGAAAATGAAATGGAAACAAGCTTCGTCTACAACTATTCATTTCTCCGTGGTATAGAATCTATAAGATAGATTTAATATAAATGCATCCCAAAATATGAATAATCATGTTGACCACCAAAGGGAGATATAAACATATTCTATCATCCAAACGTTACTACCTATCCCACACAACCACATGATCCACATCCCCGGGATTATTCCCTTCGTGCATAATGCCTCCTTTCTGGGATTTCCGCATTATACCAGTGGTACTATTTTGTTAGCAAAATCTTCGAATCAAGACATTTGAGATTAGAATTTTTAAGTTGGGCCAAGATAAGGTGTATTAAAAGTGGGTTAAGACTTAAGATTCATATCATCAGAAATCAGATTTGAGAAAATGTTTTGAGTCCCAATATGAATTTATTAAAGGAGGTATGGGCCATACTCATTCAGTTTAAGCCCACAGCACACTGTAGGTATATAGGCAAGAGCCTTCCTTAACCTTTATTTTGCGGTACACCAAGGTATTTGACGAGAAATAAAGAAAGAAGGTAGAATTAACATTATAGAAAAAAGTAGAATCAAAACCAAGTTTTAAAGAATTGAAGGAAGATCAAAGGGATTCAGGGCTGGCATTGAAGGCGTGAAGTAGATTATCGAAGGAATTGTTGGTGACTTCAGTGTCATCAATCATTTTTGAGATTGACTTGTGATAAAAGAGATTCAAGGTCAAGCATTAAGACAAGTTTCGTGGTGCAGAGTGCATGCTTGTATGTGCTGCCTTGAACCTTAGATTGCCATAATGCAGGGTTCAAGTGGGTAGCACCCCCTTGCGGGGTTCTAGGGGCAGAGCCCCTTGGCGGTGGTTGTATTTGATGGGCATCAGTGGCAGGGGGAAGCAAGCAGCAGCATCAGCTGATGCATCCACATCCACTAATGACCATCTGCTTTGATGACATCGACAGTTGTAACCATTTCTGTAACCACCCTTAACCGCTCATATAACCACCTATAAAAGATAAATTCTATCTCGATATATATATATACTATATATATATGTGCAGATATAACTAGAGGTGCACAAAAACCCGACCAACCCAGTCAACACAGCCCAACCAGAAGTCACTCGATATTTGATCAAGTTTTAAAACCTTCAAACCGTAGTTAATGGGTTGGAATAGGGTTAGAGTTTAATCAAGTGTTCTTGATACACGATCCAAGATTTTATCCGAGTGATTGAAACCGCATACCCAGAATTTCTAACAGGAGTCGCATAGCTTCAGAAAGTTAAAATCCCTGATGAGATTTTGATGTATATGCATTTGGTTTAATAAACTCAAATTGTAAAGAAGCAAGTCAGTTGATCGTAAGAAGTATACATGCATGCCAGAAATTCTGAATAAGTGTGATGCTCATTGGTTATAAAACCCAACTGGGAATAGCTTGAATCCATGAAGTTTAATAGCCAAGAATTGAGATAAAAGGAAGTTTAGTTGGGCTTTGTGTCAAACTAATGCTAGGTAAAGAGGAGTTGATTATGTGTTTCCGTCAAGAATCAATAGTGGTATGTTTGATTTTAACAGAGTGAAGAATGGAAGGGAAGAAATCATAACGGGGCAATTTTTGTATGTTGGAGTATGGCATATAGTTTGTTGCCATAAAGCATATGGCCTAAGAATTCAAGGCGTAAGAGCTAGTGCTTTAATGCTTGATTGCTTGGCAGTCATAAAGCTATTTCGTATAGAGTCGGTTCGTTTATGTATCAGAATGTGATACTAGTAAGATGTCATAGACTATATAAGGCTAAGTATATTCCAAATATCTTACACGTGAAACTGTATTTTCGGTTTTAGAAATAAGGGACTTTCAAGGACTCCCTTTTCAAATTGTTCGGACTTCTTGGGCAAGCTTTGCTTTTGCATACTTTTTGTTGGGGGTCCTCACGAAAACTACCGGTCTACTCTTTGAAGTAGACATGTTTGCGTACATCCGCCCCCCACTCCCCCCCCGACCCTGCCTCCGCACAGGATATACCAGACCTTTTGCCTTGGTTTTGGACTTTCGAGGACTCCAATCAAATGCCAGGTCAAACCACAACCGACATGAGTTTTATGTTTGTTGTAAGATGAAGTCAGTGCCAAAAAAAGCTTTGTTCATAATAAATATCGATGTCGCATAATTTTTGTCAAGAATGATTGTGTTAAGAAACATATTTATCATATATTTGTGTGTGTTGCCAAATCTAAATGCCAAGAAATTTGTATTGCTAAGGATAACTAGTCAAGTGTGAATAATTACTTTCGTTCTAAGTGTATATGAACGTTATTTGCTAAGGAATGTAGTTAAATTGTTTCAACGTGCTAATTGCAGGTAACCACATGTATGTGAATGGGAAAATATGTTCAAAACAGATTGTAAAATATATTAATATACACATATACATATCTTCATCTTGTTGAGTTTATTGAGTAGAGAAAACCTCTTTCTTATTTATGTCTCACATTGAATGAGAGAAAACCTTTCAAAACCCGCTACAACTGAAAACTAATCTCCAGCTAGCTCTAAAAAAGCTATCCATGTCTTTCACTCTTCAAAAGACCTCACAAGTCCATTGACTTTTTGATTGTGACAAGCCATAATCACTATATCTCATTGTAGGCCTTACAATATAGCAAGTAGCAACTAAACGAATATAAGCACACATAAACACTCTATGGTAGCAGACGGACAATTGTTTGCAAGTCTTACTTAAATGCTTCACTACTTGATTCATATTGCAACACTAGGTTGGCTTCATCATAGAAGAGCTAAGAATCAAAAAGGCTAAAACGCCCTTCTTAACTCATTGCATTTGGCTTTCTTGTGCGGAATGCACCATCTTATGGCACACTCTTTTGAAATTTGTTCTTTAAATGGTTCCTCAATTTGATAAATCTTGTCCGTTGCAATATCTCTAGACCTCTTTCTTTGAGACTAGATATACTCATTGACCCTCAATCTGCTCATTTAAAGTTTGATTCTGCATTATTAGTAACTTTCAACCTGCATGGTATTTCATCCACTACTCACTTGCAAGGCTCCTCATCTTCAAATAGGACACCACATATACTAGAATTGTATGAAGTTCGACATCAATACTCTTTAATGAAACCATCAACCTATTTGAAACTTCTCCAAATCCCAATGGCGAATGTCAGTGATATAATCACCATCAATCAAATCCACACAATCAGATTTTTTATGCAAAAGAAGAATCTCTTTGCTCACCCATTTATGTATAAGAAAAGGCAAGACTGCAGATGACTATAGCACATAACATAGATCTTATCTAGTTGCTCCAAGATTTTACATGGATATGCCCAAAAACTGGTAGTAAAGCTTGTACTGGGTGCATGGGTCTCTAATGCCAGACATAATATCAAGTAATACTCTAAAACAAAGATAATAGTAATACGATTTATTTAGATTAATAAGTTTATAATGTAAAAGATTTAGTTGTACCATGCAATGTTCCTTTTAATGCATCAATTATTTTGTTTTTGTTTTTCCATTGTTTGGCATAGAATTAGGTTTTCTTTTTTTCTTTATTCATGAAACTAGAAACAAACATGTACAACTTCAATTTACAAAAGAAAGCTATAAAATTAAAGACATAACATATAAGATGATTTATGGTTGGCAATGACCTGAAAAAAATGGAGGTAGTATTTATCGTATATTCTAAGAGTTTTTTTGACCCTTGCTTTATCATTCCTGGTATGAACCACATATGAAGCAACACCCTCAGTAGCTGGCGAAGGTGCAGCCGAATGATAGGTTTCCAACTCCCTCTTGGATGGTGTTGGCAAACCACTTATGGGTGTGTTTGACTCTCCGTCACCAACATCTTTTTCGTGGCCCAATGAATTAATCTTGGTAGCTAGGCAAGAAGTAGTTTTGATCTCACTCTGCGAAAGATTTGGCAAGCAAATTGTCGGGGAATATTTTGGTTTTCTCTGTGATGCTCTATTATCAGCAACAGCATCATTCTCATGCAATTGTGTTGAAAATGAGTGTCGTTTGCGAGTGGGGCCGTAATAAGGTCTTTTACTGTCAGGGATTTCTCTTAACCGCGGACTAGATCTTTTGTTGACAGGAGATTCCTGGGATACGATCTTTTTCTGGACTCGCTGGCCAAATTTTTTGGTGACGGAAACATCCAATGTGCCATTGGCGAAAGATTTATGAGAGCCCATAGAAATGATCCTTTGAATGTCTCAACTAGGGTTACAGGGACTGGTAAAATCAAAAGCTGAGAAAGAAACACAAGATTCTCAAATAAGATCCCGTTTGCTACCCTAAAAATGCAAGGGTTTAAAATGATAAATACAAGCACATTTTCTGAAAATTTTGTATGGTTTTGGAATGAAGAGTATGCAGGTAAGAAGGGGGAGAGTCAAGATCTGGAGTTGAATTTGAGAAGAGAAAAAGAAAAGGAAAAAGAAAAACCTGAAATGTAGATGGCATGGAAATGGAAATTGGAAAGGACGGAGCGGAGAAGAAGGTTTGGATTTATTAATTTTATTGGGCTTTGGAATTTTTAAACCCAACAAGCAATAAAAAGATGGATTTCAGCCCATTGGGCTCTTTTATTCTTACAAGTTACAACTTACAAATACAAAACAAGAGGAAATGAAATTATTAGTGTTTGTTTTATTAAAAAAAGGTCTTGTGATTTACTATTCAGATTTTAAAATAAATATAAGTGAGGAGATAATTAAATCAAAAACATAAATAATATATATATATATATATATATGTATGTATGTTAGAGGAAATAAATAAATGGATATGGAACAAATGATTGCAGTCACGTGGGTACATCTCCAATCATACATCATTCTGTATTTCATTTCTATCTCTCTCTTTTAATTAAAGGTGTTTGCTTTTACTTCATAGTTCATAGTATACTATTACTGCCCATCTGTGATATACAAATTTCTTACGTTATGAATATTTATGATTTATTATTTATAATTTAAAAAAAAAAAAAAAGTATTTCTGAAACCAAGAGTCTTACGTTTCATTGAATAATTATAAAGAATCTAAATTAGGACATGGCCCACCTTCAATATCATATTAAATGTGTATCTTATCACTTCCTTACTCACGTGACGTCACGTGTATTAAAACCAACGACTACTTCTCTTCTTCCGGTTATTAATTATATACACATTTTTTTACTTTTTATGCATCATAACAATATCATTTCTATATTACCCCTATGATGATTATGGGCCTCCCTAAATATAATTAACAAAGTATTTGGATGATTTTAGACCCCGAGATACCCTTCAATGATATAAATAATCTTAATCATATATCTTTATGATATTTATATAACCTGTCTCGTAACATTTAGTCTTTTTTTTTTAATCGTATGTATAATAAATAACGCAATTATAATGTCGATTGAATTTGTCTTGATGAGAATTACAAAATTCTCAATGTTTGCATTTTGTTTTAGATGTCCATATCTTGTTAAGAATGAGGAGGCAAGCAACATTTTACTATTTTCTATCTTGTTGGTCCCGTAAGGGTCTACAGAGAGGAACAACAAATCTATTTTTACTATTTTGAATTTTATTTATTTTTTTGAACATCTTTAATTAAAATACTCGTTTTTTTCTATTTTCTCTTTGTGAAACCCAATCTCTATACCCTCCGATCACCATCTTCAGCATAACCCTCAACCACTCAGGCTCCTCAATACCCATTTGCAGATTCTCACAAACTCCCACTTGCATTAACAATGAAACCATTTTGTACAATCCATTCGATGACACAACTCACACAAAAACGATTGGTCCAACCCATCTCTCATGAAAATTGAAACACAACTCACGCATAAAACTTTTGTGCAACCAATATATGATGAACCACAATTCATCTCCAACGATGAAATACACATCGATAATGAAACCATACTAATCAAACTCTCTATCACTAATACATCTCTCCACCTCAGTTAAACAAAACTCAAGCAGATGCCTTTGATTTTTTTTTGTCCTTGTTAGCAAAAGAGGAAGGGGAAAGGTTTCTGTATATACATAAGAAAAAAAAGAGGGGAAATGGTGGGGCTAGCCCGAAGAAAAAGATGGAGGGGGGAGGTATATTTTTTTTCCTAATTAATGATCAACTTCGTAATTCTCACCAAACCATTAGAAACCAATAACCATAAATCGCTCTGAAATTTTTGGTTGGTGCGTGGAGATAACAAAATAGAAAAGTGTGCATGTGGATCCTTCTCGGTGTTGAACTTGTATATGAAATAAACAATTTTTATTAGTATAAGTAATAAATTACAGAGTGCATTGCATTTTTCGTCCTTGTGGCTTGAATTTTGTAATGTATCTCATCCCTATTGGTTAGAGACGAAGGTACTTAACTTGAATTGAGATCTTATGTTCCGAGTAGGCTTTCGTTTTCTTCCTTCAATTGTGTGGTCCATTTATATCTATATCTCCACGCCCCAATTCTAGCACCTATGCATCGTCTTTCTTCTTCTTACCAAAATTATTACAACACATACTTTCTTTCTATAAACTATCACCATATTTAAGTCTAATATGTACCTAAAAAAGAAATAGAGAATAAAAAAAAAAATACATCAGTTCATTCATTTTAATTGTATAATTCTTATTGAAGTTTAGCTCATCCTAACCCAAACATTTAGTTGGGTTGTTTATGTTATGTATTCAACCCGAATGTGTTCACCCCTAGCATTATCAATTCTAAAGCTAATTTTTTTAAATTATAACAACTTTTAATTAAACAAATTATAATAAAAACAAATACTTTGTTTTATACAATGTGGCATCTATATCACTATAGTTTTTGGGTGTTTAATTAAATATTTAAATTAACAAACTATGTTCCGCCATAAAACATGTGAATATACTAATTATAGGTATTTGAGTTTTTTTAATTTGGTTCTTCAAATTTATAATTTACATTTATATGAGATTTTAAAGATCCGGTTAAAATTCAAAAAAACCCCATATCAATATTAAATTAACAAGAATAAAGTGCACTTACTTGACTAAAGTAATTATGTTAAACATGTCTTTCTTTAAAAAAAAAAATAAGTAAAATCTATTTTTATTTAAAACAAATAAAAAGTGAACCTTTTACTTAAACCCGATTTATTCATAGATATTTTGTAATTGTATTCCATTCGATTTAAAATCAACGTGTATGATGAAGCATTATATGAAACAAACATTTGAACAAGCTTCATGAGCTTATTCGTTCCGATTTGTTCCATTTATAGATCAAGAACTCCATTCTTATTAAAAATCGAATATATTTCATTCTTTTTATTGACTTATTATTATTTATTCACATATTATTACAATAATTCCTATAACATTATTATTATTACACTACTATATATAACATTTAGCCAGTAGGAATAAAAATCTTCTTGTGGTAACGGAGGTTCAAATGCGGTGACTCCAGACTATTTGTAAAGCAGGTGATTGTCTTGGGATTAGTCGTCTCGCATAGCAGGTTGAATATCCAAATTAATGGGAAAAAAAACATTTAATTAAATAATACAGTATATTTAACGAAATATATTAGATTTTCTTAAACAAATAACACTATATTTATAATTGCATAAACATATTAGATTGTTTCATTTATTTATAATTTATTTTATTTTTTCACTAGAGTTATAAAATAAAAATATCTATATTTATTTTTTGTTATATTAAACCTAAATGATTGGTTTTGTTTATTTCAATTACTACTTATTTTAATATAATGAAATATATTAGTTGATTGTTTAGTGGGTAAATTGTACAAAAATGTACTTCGTTCGAATTCCTGTTTTATGTAATTTACTTTCAAAGTTTTCATTTTAATATATGAAATATGACCTCTTAAACTTTTAAGTATCCAAATAACCGGTTAATTTACTGGCAAAGTGAATTATATGGATTTTTTTTTATTGAAATTAGTTTTTTAAAATTTCATTTCTCATTAACTTATTTTTTTTTATTTGTAGTACCAGTCAAATCAATCGTCTTACCTTTTAGAGCTAGCTTCCTAAAACATTTCACCATGTTCTTGGCACTCCATATCCATAGCAGTTCACCATGTTCTTCTCGTTCGAGATTCTTTTTTGTTATCAAACTTCTCAAAAACCTCAACCCAAGTTTTTCTTTTTCTTTTTCTTCTTCTTCCTCTTCTTCTTCCTCTTCCTCTTCCTCTTCCTCTTTTTCCTCTTCTTCTTCCTCTTCTTCTTCTTCTTCTTGTACATCCATCAGGGTTCTTCCAGTAGCTAGGAAAGGTCTTCATACGATAATGGGAATGTCTTTGTCAGCTTCAAAGTCTATGATGATAAAATAAGCTGGGAAAATAAACTTATCAACCTGAACTAAGACATCCTCAATTTTTCCTTTATGATAGGCTATGAACTTATCAGCTAATTGTAGAGTCACAGTTGTAGGTCTAACTTCACATATGCTTAGGGTATTGAAGATAGATAAATGCATGAGGTTTATACTAGCACCTAAGTCACAGAGGGCTTTTCCTATTTCTTTTTCTCTAATTGAACAAGGGATTGTAAAGCTTCCAAGATTTTCAGCTTATGAGGGATTTTACTGGACAACAAAGCACTGCTTCCGTCAGTCAGAGCTACATCTCATACTCGGTCAACTTTTTCTTTTTACTTAAAATGTCTTTTAGAAACTTTGCATAACTTGACATCTGCTCAACAACCTCAACCAAAGGTACGTTTATATGTAACTATTTAAAAACATCAAGAAATTTTCTAAATTGTAATTATTCCTTTTGATTCCTTAACCTTTGGAGATAAGAAATAAGGAGTGACTGCAGTAGGATAAATAGTCTTTTGAAGAGCAGGTGTTGAAATGGTGTTCAAAGGTGGTTCTACAATGGATTATGATTCAATTCTACAAGGGATCCAGAAAATGACACGTGTCACTCAAGTTACTTATTTATTATAAGTATAGATTAAAATGTGTTATTTAGATGATTTATTGTACAAATGGAAACTAGTGTTTGACGCATGGTGACAATAATCTTTTTTTTAAATTATTGAAGTTAGCTAAATGAGTCGATGATCACATTTATATATTAAACTAATAAGAATCAATATTATCTTTGATATATGAATCTACCTTATCACTATTGGTTGTTCTTTTAATATATATATATATATATATATATAATTTAAATTACAAAAATGAAATCTTTTAACGATTAATGTGGTTGAAAATATTTTAAAAATAAATAGAATTTGAAAAAAAAGTTTCAACAATTGTATGTTGAAAACATTTTAATGTAAAATAAGAATGAGAAAATAAAAGATGAATATGAAARATGGTTTTTCATTAAACTTGGTTTCTCAATATTCCATGAGGAGTAGTTATTGTCAACCAAACTCTAAAACAATTGTT